ACTAAATACTAAATCCGTAACACTATATCATAAGAATGATCGTCTATTTATTATTTATTCACAAAAATGATCATTACTTGTTCAGCAAAATACATTACCATTTTCATTTCACAACTGAACGTGGTAAGATGGTACAAATTAACTGCAAGTTCGATTAGAAATTTAAATATTTACAATTTTAAAAATAGTAAAAGTATTCCAAATATTTCAAAAAAAAAATACTTGATGTAAAGCAGTCAACTACCTTTCGTGCTGTAAAACGACGGAAATTGCATGAAATATTGAAAATGCTTCAAATAGTCTAGGCCGCATTCCGAGCTAATACCAAGGAATCGTGGATTCAAGGAGATTTATCATGCGAAAAATAAAAGAAGACAGAAAATACACTCATGTCCATAAATTAAGGATAATGCAAAATCAGGCAAAGGAAGAGTTAGAAGCAAAACCAATGTGACTTATTTGTAAAGCTTATTTATTAAACAAAAGGAAAAGAGCAAAACAAGATGCTATATGTTTGATATTATTAAAAAAATTAGCGATTTTTTCTCCCTGGAGCAAATTACAAAAAACTCCTATTTACAAAAAACCAATATTATATGGTTGGTATGATTGTTAATACATTGTATGTCTCCCAGACGATGCAATACAGACCGTACAACACCTAGGCATGCTGAGTATCAAATTATCGATCTGATCTTGGGGGATATTACACCACTCAAAAAGCAATGCTCTCCGAAGTTCCGGTAGACATGTAGGAGAAGGTTGACGGGTTGCAACTGGTCGGCCAAGCATGTCCCACACGTGATCTACTGGATTCAAGTCCGGTGAGAATGCTGGCCAGTCCATACGGGTGATATCCTCCGATTGAAGGCATTCGCTTATGACGTTTGCACGGTGAAGACGGGCGTTGTCATCCATAAACACAAATTGTGCGCCTATGGCGCCCCGAAACAGACGTACATAATAATTAAGACACAATAACACGCCGAACAAATACCAATTCAGAAGTCAAACAACAAAAATCAGCGTTATACCTACAAAATTTTCACAGGACTAGTTTCGATGGTTTTACCGAACCATCATCTTCATCATGGTTCGGTAAAACCATCGAAACTAGTCCTGTGAAAATTTTGTAGGTATAACGCTGATTTTGTTGTTTGACTTCTGAAGACGTACTACATAATGTTCCAGAATGACGTCTCAATAGATTTGGCTTGTCATGGTTCCAATTTGAACATGCAGGTCAGTTCTGGAACCCAGAATAATTCCACCCCAAAAGAGCACTCCTGCACCACCGGAATGGTGTCGTTCAGTGATGTTTTCTTGGTGGTAACGGGTACCTGGAGCTCTCCATATGAACGTTCGGCGAGAATCAGACTGCAAGCTAAACCTGGACTCGTCGGAAAACATCACACAAGCCCACTGTTGCGGTGTCCACAATGCATGCTCTCTACTCCAGGCTAACCGCAGGCGACAGTGAGTTGCAGTAAGTGGAACCATCTGACAGGTCTACGAGCATATAGACCAATCTGCCCTAAGCGTCTGTACACGGTCTGCCTTGAAATTGTCATACCAGTGGCTGACGAGACAGGTCTGAGGTTGTGCTCCGCCTGTTCCTTTTGGCAGTAACTGCCAAATACCGGTCCTCATTCGGCGTTGTAACTCTGGGGCGACCTGTGCTCTAACGTCTACTCACATTACCATCATCTTGGAATCGTTGCCAAAGCCTGGAGATGACACTCTGGGCAATTCCAAGTTTGTCTGATACTTCTAGTTGAGTACGCCCACATTCCAGACGGCCGATAATTCTACCACGTAAAAAATCATCCAAATGCGTCCTTTGTGTCATAATTATTCGGTTATTACACTGAAATGCTTATAAAGCGCCTGCGAACAATTTTACTTCTTTGCGTGTATTCCTTATATATCACTCTTACACTCTCGTCATTGTGACGTACCATCGGTGTCATCTGGTTACTTCTTGAAATTTACATATGATTCTTGAAGATGTGTGTAGTGATTTTACAGGTCGTATATTCATTTTAGAGTTCGATTTCCGCGTGACTCCGAATTATCCTTAATTTATGGACATGAGTATATAATGCTGCAAAACTTGTAGCAGATTTAGAAGAACGGTTTGCAACAAAAATTAACCCTGAAGCTATTAGGAAGTCATTAGGGCAAACTGACACAAAGGTCAACAAGCAAGAAAGTGTACCTTTCTGGCAAATATCTCATAACGCTTCTTCAGTCAAGCAAAGTCGCCATTTTCATGTGCGCTCTTTATGTTTCATTCGAAGTTCCATCGGTTTTAATAGACAAACCGTGATACTTTTTGCATTAAACTCAATTTAAAAATATACTTAACCCTTGTTTAACACGGTAGATAGGTTTCTAGAAATTGCCGTGTTGTGTAAAACAATTGTGTAAAACAAATTGCCGTGTTGTGTAAAACAAATTGCCGTGTTGTGTAAGATGCCGTGTTGTGTAAGATGCCGTGTTGTGTAATGTTTCTACATAAGCAACTTAATTTTTTTATTAAAAATATATACGTATGTACAACACACATTATTACAATATTACACATTTAAATTTAACGCAACTTTATTTTAGTAAATTTGTTCATCGTCACTACTCAGTATTGCGGAGGAACTGATAACGACAGCGATGAAGCTGCACTCTCCGACGTTAATTTCCTCCTCACTTCCGCTAACAGGAATTGGACTTGATCCAAAAAGGAGAAACATTCTCTCCTTGTATGACTCATTCTCGCGTTATGCAATGGACAGTAAACTACGCTTATAATCATCGCTAGATGTTTTTTCTTCTAATACCTAATACATGTGTTATTTTGTGTGTGCTAATAATAATGATCGTGTTCTTTACATCTGCAGCTTGGATTAAGCTTTATCAAGGTAAGAATTTTAATTATTTTTTATTCATCTGCTCGCCTCGAATTAGCGAAATCGCAATAGTAAACAAATGAACCACGCAAGATTATGAGACTGAGCGCATGTTTACTTCAACTAAACGTATAAAATATATCGAGATAAGCTATCAAGGATAAAAATACAAACAGAAAAGATAGTCTGCCGTAAATTACCGCTGGATAATCCGAAAAAGGAAAAACCAAGTATGTCTTCAAAAGCGAAACAAAACTACATAGTTGTGTACTGCGCATTCGAAATACAGAAACAGAACTGGCTGCAAGCTGCGAAAATCAATATTCGATCATGAAACTGAACAATAACAACTATCAAGTATGGAAATACAAACTTGAAATGATCCTGAAAGAGGAAAATTTATGGGATTTAATCGCACATGACACACCAAAAGAAATAAACGCCGAATGGACAGAACGAGACAAACAAGCACAAGCTACCATTAGTTTACTCGTAGAAGACAACCAAATCGTACACATAAGAAATAAAGGTCAGACTGCTAAAGAGAATATGGAATGAATGTAAAGAAAATTCATGAAAGAAAGAATCTTTCTAGTAAACTTTACCTTCTCAGAAAGCTGTATACGTTAAAAGCAGAAAACGAATACAAACTCGAAGAGCACGTCAACAAAATGCTTGAAATCGTAGACGAACTGCGAGGAATCGGGGAAGAAATTAAGGACAGTCACATTGCAGCACTCTTACTAAGCGGCTTACCAAAAAGCTACGAAAATCTTGTTACAGCTTTAGAAGCACGCCCAGAAGAAGAACTAACGTTGGAATACGTAAAAACGAAACTCATCGACGAATTCCTGAGAAGTAAAGAAGGCACACGAACAGAAGAAACAACTGCCTTCAAAACGAATTTTAACGCAAAATTCAAGCATTTCAATCATCGAAAATGCAGTTATTGCAAAAAATTAGGACACTTAGAAAAGGAATGAAAATTCTTAAATAAAAATAATAATAAAAAAAAAACGAAAGCAATTCATTCTTCAAGAATGAAAAGCAAACGAATAAAGGAAATTATGAAAGTAAACAGAAAACGAAAGTTGCGGTAAACGAGGATGCACACAAAGATGAAAACTAAAATAAGAATCTTGAGAAGACTGAGAATTACACGTTCGAAGTCACCAGATAAAGAAAATTTCAAACTTCAAACTGGTTAATTGATTCAGGAGCTACTTGTCACATGACCGATAACATAAACTTTTTCACTAAATTGGATAGAAGCAAAACTGAGCAAATAACAATTGCTAACGGCACTCAGATGAAGTCCAAAGGTAACGGACAAGGATACTTACGAAATAGAAGTAAGAATACTCGTGGATGTTCTGTACGTTCCTGACCTAGAAGGAGGATTGATATCCGTACGAAAAATTAGAAAGAAAGGGTTTACAGTTTAATTTGAGAAAGATATTTGCAGAATAAAGAAGAAAAATAAAACCATAGGAATTGCTAGAGCAGAAGGAAATTTAACGGATATAAAATAAATTGATGACTATAGTGTGAGTGAAAGGCGGAATGAATATATCTGAATACAGCGAAGTATGAAAAACAGATGATTTTTTGCAGTTAAGTACAGAGATACGAAGAAGTATCTTCTGATATTGTGTTTTTGGAATAGCTGGTTGTTCTTAAAATACATTTTTAGACCTTCCCCCTTGAATGGCCAAACACTTTGCTTGCTAAGCATTCGCAGAAGTAGCTGAATTCATCATCGAAATCTTGTTCAGGTGCATCACAGGGAACAACTAATTTTATATTCAGGGAAAGCTCCCTTCCAATTTTGATGGGGTGAAACGGATCTGAGGGTCTGCCGCTCCTCTTGCTCTACCCTCAATCTCTTGCGAGAACTTTTGGCTTGATAGTATTTTAAGTGTGCCTATGCCGCAAAGACACTATACGCTAAAGTACGTTTGTGTTACCCGATATTTGCGATTGGTAAATCTGAACTTTCCTCACTTGGGTTGTTCCAAAATTAGAGAATGATATCCATTTAGCACAATTTTTCTATGTGATTGGAATATTGTGAAAGTAAAATGCAAGTGTGCTTACCTGGAAGACTGCTCTTGGAGCCCAGCTTTGCCTGCAACCCTCTTGCCCGTATGACTTCCACTTCAAGGCGGTTCTTGCGTTCACAGATACCTAGCTGGACGTCACCCAGGGAGGGAGAGGCCAGTGCTTGCCTTCCCACCAACTGCCCCGGTCCTAGGCCTTCCACGAAACTCGAAGCTTCTCCGACCTCCGGGGGTAGGCGAGGTCCCCATCTGTAAAGGGCAGGAATGAAACATGTTCAGCACAGTAAGATGCAGCAAAACGCATGAATGTCCTATAATAAATTGCCGTACTGTTATGACTACCTAGCTACTAAAGATTGTCGTCTAAATTCTGAAGAAAATAACTTCTATTATTAAAACATTTTGAAAAACAGTTCAGTGTCTATATCCACATTTTTAAGATAGTGTTTGATACTTTTATAAGAATCACATCAGAAAGTTTCCTAGTCAAATTCATATGCGTATTCATTGTACATTAAATACATGTATATACATCATGCAATGTACAGTAATGTTTCTTAAACATTGTTTAGTTAAAATAATTCTCGAAAACGAAATGCATGTTTTTTTAATTAAATTTCATTTATTTTTTTGAAGTTAAGAGAAAGTAAAAGTACTTTCTTTCGTTGATTTTTTTTTACCTTGTTAGATCAACATATGTAAGAATTACTTATTAACAACGAAATGCCAAAACATGCATCAGAGCTCTTCAGAATTTTAATTTTGGTCCGTTCAAAGGTAAATTTTTATTATTTGAGTGATAAAAGGAATTAAAAATGGTGCAAATATGCATGCCAAATATGAAAGTTTGCGTGCGCATAATGATGATATCATTTGATTAGGTTTTGTTTTGCGTTTAACAAATAGGTAAGAATGCAAAGTCGTTAGAAGTAATTAATTTTAAGCATCACAGCTCAGTAACAAATACAAAGCGGGCTCTGCAGCATCAAACAGGCTTATAGATGAAGTAAATTGCATAAATGCTTCGTAATGAATCCTCGAGAAGTTTTCTAGTTTTCTTCTTTGCTGGCTTGCTAGAAACTGCTAGCCTGGAACTCGAAAGAAAACTAGCTTAGTCTTAATTTTTTTTGTGAGTAAACTAGATATTGAGCCAAGCTCCAAATTAAAAAACATTTACAATTTCATTAGGATTAAGCCTGTTATATACAGTTCCAAATTATCTCCTTTTACACTCAGCTGTGTTACTTAATTAAAGTACTGAAGGATATACAGTAATTGCATGACAATTATAATAGTGAGGCGTAGCATTATTTCAGTTTAAAAAGGAAAGGAAACGGGATCAAAGGATGATTCCAATGAATGTAACGGCGTTCGAAACAACGAGGCATCGGAGCGAGGGAGGTGCATGCTTGAAAGAGAATACATGGATAGAGAGGAGGGAGGCTCCGCACACCCAGGCACGTGCAAGGAGAGACAAAGAGAAAACCAACCTCCCAGCCCGAAAAAAAGTGCTATTACGAAAGCAGGTTCACGTCACGGGAGTAACAGGAAGACAATGAGGTTATATGTAAAGTTGAGCTGCATCCTTGTGGAAGTACTTACGATTGACCTCTGCTCCTGGCCGTGCCGGTCGATGAGGGTGTAGATCCGGAGGCCTCCTCACCGCCTGTAAGAAGATAAGAAGGCTGGTCAGCCAGGCACCCCCTTCGATCCGATCAGCCCCTGTTCGAAGCCGCCCTTTTTTTAACCCTGCCTTATCTCCTTCATCACCCAAGTTGGTGCTAAGGCTGAGGAGTGAAGGCAGGCCTTTCTCGTCTCCACAATCCACCACCTGTGGCAACTGATACCAAAAATTGCTTATCTCAAGATTCGTATTAAATCCCAAGATTCGTAAACTTTCCTGTCAAGCTAATACGGGAATATGTCAATTAAAAAAACTTTATAGTTATTTATAAGAGGCAATATAAATTCGATAAACAATATTTGTCTTCTTATGTAGCTATTTATTTCAAACAGCAGTTTAAAAGTAAAAAATAAATAAATAAATAAATAAAGGGATGCATTATCTGAAATTTACATGGATCCCTTTAACATTCATTTGAGATATGGTACCATATTGCGGTCTTAAAGATGGAAGTGCTAGTGTATTGCGATAGACTACTTGCTTAGGAAATGTAGAAAATATACAGTGGTTGAAGACAGTATTATAAGAGAATGTAGTCTGTGTGTATTATAATTGAGACAATTCACATGTTACCATAATATAAGGATGCTTTTCTCCATACACATTGCTGCATCATGGCTCAATAAAAGGTCAAGAGATATTTTTTGGTTAATTTTTTAAAATTTATTAGTTTTACGACATAATGATATATACACACACATATATATCTATATCTATATCTATAGATATAGATATAGATAAATAGATAGATATAGATACATTTATCTGAAATTTTTAACTAATTTATAATTAAAAATTAATTGTTAATAATTACATATGCATTTATTTGCTATTTTTTCATTATTACATTATTTTATTCTACGGCTGTCTTTCTCATTTTCTTCAGAGAGACTTAATAAACGTACGCGAATGGAATTTTATAAAACTTTAATTTTAAAAATTCCGTTTTATTTTACAAATTTTTTGTGAAGAATGAATTATTTTAGTGGAAAAAATATATATTATTTTATATACGTTTAAATATGTCAGAAATAAACTGATACGTATAAGTAAAAACAAAAATGTTCAAAAAATTCTTTTCAAACCTTTTTTTTTTTTTTTAAAATATGCTACATAAATTTTCTAATGTTGGCCAACAACATTTTTTATAATTATTACATGCAGGAATAGTTTTATATTATCTGTGATTATTTGTAATTGAAAAAACATTGACATCTATGCTAGTATTCTAAAAATGAAAATTAGCCTATTTACAAGAAAGATATTACAGAAAATGGCACTATATCTATGTGAGGTCTTCGAATATTTTCTCTCTCTTATCTTTCACGAGTCACATATTGCACTTAGTTTGGGGGCCTTTAGAACTGTTACCCAGGGGTTGGATCATAGAGACGGCTGACAGGACGGTCTCGGAATGGGGCACTTACGTAAGACTGTCTCCACTTATGCTGCCATCGGACGAAATACTGCTACCCGCCCGGACGTCAGGTAGAATTTCTTCACTGCGCTGCACCACGAATGAGGATGAGGAGCCATTCCTTCGCCGGAAGATGAGCCGCTTCTTGTGCCCTTTGGGTGGGAATCGTACACTGTGAGACACAGGTTACCCTCAGAGACATTGGTATGTACGGACTCGAAAATTGATAAAAAAGAAAAAAAAGCCAGCAAAACCAATTTTTTAAACTTAAGTTCTGCTAGGGTAACCGTATTTAAATTAAAAGGCCATTTTCCTGTGCATTATGGGCGAAAAATCCTTTTAACACTCCCATGTATACATGCACAGTTCTTGAAGTGTTAACCTGGAATTTACAGATTTCAAACTTCTTTTATACAAGAGAAATTTAACTGCCGAATATTATTATTTTTATATAAACGTGTAGTTTCTTACAACGCATTTTAAGTTTCACTGCAGTTAAGGTTATTCTTCGCAGGTATAAAATACACGACAGAGAGATAATTTTTGTTAGATTTAAAATTGGGAGTTTCAAAATATTGAACTTCAAACATTGCAAGTTTATGCTGTAAAATTTAATTTTAAAATGCCAAGGGAATCATTTCCAGACTAAGACCATAAATAGTTTTCTAAGTAATCCGTTGGTTTGGTCTTCGCATGCGTTGGCTAAGAACAGGACCCGTTTAAATGCATTCTGAATTATAATAAACAATTAGCCTACTGGAATTTGAATTCGGTAATTGTTGAATAAAGTGGACAGTCAATAGTTTCCACCAATAACGTATCGTAAGAACACAAGCTCTTACTAAAAACTGTAGGATAGTCTTACGAATAACAATAGTAGGACTCAGTAGTAGTTCACGTGTTAATGGAATATGCTCAAAAGTTTATTTTTTTATCGCAATTAATAAAAGTACGGAAATAGCTAGAATTTGAAAAATACTGCAATGCTTCCACGTGTGTGTGATTAAATGCGCGCATGTCATACATCGAGACGATTTTCAGCGTTGGTTTTCATTGAGTTAATAACATCCTGAAATATCGTTTGCAGTCGTTGCAGCGACTCTTTATTTTAGGTAAAGAAGACTGAATTTTATCACTCTAAGTCAATGGTTTTATTTAATTCCAAACCAGTAGCAGTTCGGACCCCAAAAGTGTTCACGAATGCTAAGGAGTGGGTCCATTTTGTCAACTATCCTTGGAAATAAATGTTCGCAACAACCTGCCTGCTTTACCACAGAGTGCAGAGTGGGAAGGTGTTCTATTCTGGTGAATGATCGGATAGGATTTTTCCATGCTCGCGATTTGGAGGGGTAGAATGAGTATTTAGCTTAAATATACTCTACAGTAGTACAAAATATAACTATTATTTCCAAGAATCATGCATGAATTATTGAAGCGAAGATATAACTACTGCTGAATTTGTGAATTAATTTAGCTGTGGACTTAATATTGTTTTAAAGTTCGAGATACTAAAACTTACCTTAAAATTAATGATTCAAATTTTAATATTGCATTTGACAGGAAAACCTAAGTTTGTTTCTCTACTTATTTCATTTTTTGGGATGTTTAACATGATTTAACATTATTATTCAACGATATATTTATTGTGTTTAAATAAAAATCTGTAATCGTTTTCGAAATGAAAAGTAATTCGTATAAAACTTGACAAAACAATGAATTGAACAATTAAGCCACACTGTTTTTTCTAAAGTAGTAGTTATATCCTTCGTGTTTCTGAAATTGAAATTTTAATTTTCTGCTGATTTTGTTTACTGTTTTGTGTTTCTATAATTTGTAGTTGAAAACTTAAGAATGAAAAATTTACATTCACATAATTTGATAATTATCCATATGTAATATAAATCTGCATAAATATCCGTATAAATGTAATAATAATTTGATAATTATTCGTATAAAATATCCGTTTGATAATATACCGCTAGATCTAACACTCTTCAAGTTACACTGTGGTAGTCTCAGGTTACTAGATACTCACGGCAAGAAACAAAGAATATAGTGTCTTAAATAATATGAAAATAGAATAATTTCCCTCACAGCCTTGCTTAACTTCCACAAGTTATTAGTCCACGACTAAAAGTTATGTTACATTAGCTGTTATTATTTTTCCTTTAATGCTAAATGATGTAGAAATGTACATTTTATAAAAAAAATTAACAGTTTCACTTTTCCGAGTGTTAAATAAGCTCGTGTTTTATGATTATAAATTATTGTCATATATCCATTGTTATCATTGTGTTTTCTAATTTTCATGCACTATTTTTATTAGTAAGAAAGATTTCTCCTAAATTACGCCAAAACTAAGCGTTTGAACATTATGTATAATTCAAAATTTCTGAAGTATTCAGACGTATGTTTACAGGATACGCCTTGTAAAAACTTTACAAAAGCATTAAAAAGAATAAGAGTAATAAAAATCATCGTAATGAATAGTAGTATGTTCAATTAATACAGCCAGATGAGAAGTTTATACAAAATAAAAAGAAGGATGGTGAACTTGCTATGAGAAATGTAATACAGTTTAACTATTTTAAATATAATTTCAGAATAAGAAGTATAAAAGACCATAAAAACACATAAATTTATTACTTATACTTTTAACCCATTAGAAAATCAATCGTAGTTTGAAAAAAATATGATTCTCTAATGCAGAAAGGTTTATAAAATGAAAGAAAATGAGCTACGCGTCTCTGGCATTTTGAAGTAACATAAAATTCCACTAATTTAACGCCATGAAAAGTATAGCTGTTATAGAAATCAGTCCAAGGATTTTAACTCCCAAAGAAGAACTGAATCATGAAAGTAAATTATTTAATGAAATATCAGCTTTTTTTTTAGACAAGACTGGTTGTAACTCAAGATTGTTCCTCAAACTTTACATCCAAAATATTTTAGCAAATTCGTTTCATCTATAAGATTAATATCTCAAGACCAACATATGATTATAAAGAATCACAGTATTTACTCATTTTAAAAGAACAGTGAAATTCACAATGGTGTCATGGGAGGGTATCAGCACACGTCAATCGTTAATCGCACTGCCAATCTATTTTATGTTTATTTTGAGTAAAACAATCTCGAACCAAATCAGATATTCTGCTGAAATATTTGCTGATGTCGAAAAACCAGTACTTAGAGTGAAAGTTTGTTTTCATATTTAATTAAACTATGACTTTTATTCAAAGTATAGAATGGATGGAAGCACACTAGAAGTAGATCACATTTGTACTGCATTTCATTATTTAAATATGGAAAAGCACACTAAGCTATCTAAAGGAAAGTTTGTCTTCTTAGAAATCTTTACAAAGGAAACAGGTTCCATATTTAAGTCACACATGAGAAAAAACAGAACATTAAGACAAACATTCTTTCAAGAAATTCCCCTACCAATGAGCAGAAGTTAATAAAAACGTGAAAGGTAAGAAAAGTAGATAGCACTTTATAAAACCGCAATTAATTTAGTTAATAAAATACAATTTTATTGTTACCATATTTCTATTTGTTTACATTAGTTAAAGAGCGAAGTTTTAATTTGATTGATTAAACTTCTTTCACTAAAAGATTTAAGTATTCTCATGTAATAAGCTTAAAAATGAAATGTATATATTAATGTCTAAATCAAATATATCAGGTGTTGAGCGGAGAAAATATACAAAAGTTATTTACGCTTTTTACTAATTATGTTTCAGGTATAATTTTCTTTCAGAATAAATGAAACGTTGCTTTAAAATTTGAACATTCCGTAGCGTAAAATGCACTACTTTTGAGAAAGGTAAATTTTAAAATTCTGAATTTCTATAACGCTACTTAGCATTAACAACTTAAGTAATGTTTGATCTTTTACACATATCTTAAAAATTAAGCAAGAAATTTTCTCAATGAATAATGCACAATTTTAATTAAAACTTCACTTGTTGAGAAGAATACTTAAAATTCTTTAATACTTTAATTATAAATTTTTACAGAAATAAAAAATTATAGCTATTTTTATAGCCACAGGAAAAGTTAAAAAGAAATGGGAAGCAATTTAATTTAAAGCGTTGTTTTTTAGAGACTATTTTGAATGGAATGCACATTGCAAGAAATCTCACAAGCTTTTTACTCCAAGTGATTACATTTACGTGAAAACTATTATACGGAACAAATGTATAATGAATAAACACAATCTGAAGTAAAAATCCCTCTAAGTATATTTACCCTTCTACGTATTTTAAAAACTACCAGTTCTTAGCTGAAGATGAATACTTTGATGGAAAAGCATGTTTAAACTGAAAAAGCACATGAGGAATATCTGACTAAGGAGGGATACCTTCGTGAAGGACACTGCCTCATATTTACATTGCGCATGGAAAAAGCCAATCCTTTTTCTGGGATTTCGAACTAAGTGTGACTGCCGGTGTTCAGTGGTTTTATGAAACCTGTCGTTCAGAGAATATATTGAAATGCATTTAAAAATTGAGATTACATCAGGCCATATGTATAAATATGGAAAAGGAGACTTTTATGCGCAGTGGTAATTGACATTTCTATCCTACTGAGGGAAAGAATTTTTGTTACTTCTATCTACAGGTATTAATTTACTATGGGGAATATTTTGGGATGTTTCTTTCTACCTAATATTGTTTGAGCTTCCTTTAAAAATAAATAAAAAGCAAAGCAAACTAAGGAAATGGAAACAAAAAGTGAAGTTCGAAGGAAAAGCCATTCACCTGTTACGCTGAGTTGCGAGGTGCTGCTGCTCTTCTTCGAAAGATGAGGGCTTCTCTTGGCATAACTATTCTCTGTCGGAGTGGAACGACGGATCATTGCTTTCGATTCCGTGGCCAAACCCACTGCTGTATCTGAGAGGCTACCGTCTATCTCTCTCGACGACGGATGAACCGGTCCCCCATAAGCCGGTGAACGACCCGTAAACTCCCTAACAGAAAAACAAAATAACAGTTAATAGATGAAAAATAATACCGGAATATCATAGGATGTTAATGACTAACGAGTGCAAATAAATTTAATTTTCAAAGATTTATTACCTTACATAGATAAGGCAGATAGGAGAAAGTCAAGTGGAAATGAGTAGTAATTGAGTATCATAACATACGAATTACATTAATAGATAAGAAGTCCATTAACAGATAAGAATATCCATCATGTTGAGCTGACTCTGAAATATGAGAGGTATTAAACACATTAGGAGTAACAGATTAGGTATTACAATAATTAACGCGGATTGTTTTTGTTTAAGTTTAAATGTTATCGATTTTAAAGAAATATTTCTTTTTATGCTTATATGCGGCTTTCATAGTCGAAGCGTATCAGTAGTATACAGTTCATCTCAGTGGTTACAGAGTTACACTTTGAAGTTTAAAGCATTGACTCATTACAACAATACTAAATGTATTTTTAATTCTAATAAATGTTATTCCTTTCTAAATTTTATTTCATTTTAAAATATATTGTATGGAATCTTAGATTTTCCTCCTATTTTTAATCAAATTTATAAGAATATATTTTTTAAAAGAATTCTGTGTGTGAGTTTGTAATATGTAAATTTTGTTGAACTCGTAATTATTGAACGAATGAACTTTACTTCCTTGCACGAAATATTGTAATCACAAAATTCGGGTAATATTCAATGAAAATATCATTTCGACCGCTATCGAATGTAAATTAACGACGTTTTTGCGTACTTTGTACATAGGACAGAATAAAGAATTGACTCTTTTTCCACAACGAGTATAACTGATTTAAAAGGATTCAAGAGATTTTCCGTGGCGTCTGTAGTATCTCTCTAACTAAAAGCTCGTAGCTCAGAACGTTGAAATTTGTACTACGACTGCTATAACATGTAATTGTGGACCTCACTTTTTGTTTGCAGTCGGCAGCACCAACTGTATATATAATTATATATAATATATATTATATATCCCATAACTGTTACTCGGCTCAATTAGCTCAGTTTTTTTATTCTTATATGTTGGTAAATTGTGCATTTTTTGCTTTAAAAATGATTTAATTATGTTGTTCTTATCTTCCGGTTAAAGATTTTACGCCATAGTTAATCTGCATGCAATATTTGTGAAATTATCAACAATTTAAAATTTAGAAGTCAAACAAAGAAGCTGCAAAAGCGCATATCTCTTTTTATGCTTATATGCGGCTTTCATAGTCGAATCATCTCAGTTCATCTCAGTTTCTCAGTTGTTACAAGGTTACACTTTTAAGTTTAAAGCATTGACTCATTACAACAATACTAAATTTATTGCTCTTTTGCAGCTGAGGACGATGGTTCGGTAAAACCATTGAAACTAGCCCTGTGAAAATTTGAAAATATAACGCTGATTTTTGTTGTTTGACTTCTAAATTAATATTTAATCGGTGCGTTATTGTATCTTAATTTAAAAGTTGTTCAATTGCGACTAAGCCTAACTTTTTTCTATAGCAGCCATATGTGTTTACATTTGAAACTCAGCAGAATAGTGAATTAATTCTTTCTGCACCTTCTGTGTCTTTTTGCCGAGTGGGACCAAAAGAAAACTTTTAGTTTTGTGCACCGAAAATATCTACTTTTTGCCGAATCGCTTGTTTTTGCGTAGAAACTGTAATTTTAATTATAAAAACTGTTTTTTAAATATTTTAACTGTATTTGGTGTTTAATGTTTTTAAATTTTTAATGAAGATTTATGTATTTTTGCCTTGACGCGAACTAAATTAATTTTTTAAAATTTTTTTATTAAAGAAGCACAATAAGTTCCCCATGTACCACATAGTATGTGTATGAAACACAATACAAAATAAAAAGAAGAAAAAACTGAAATAAAATTAAGGAGATTAACAATTTCACAATAAATTGACAAAAGTGTTAAAAGCCTTCTCTCGGAATCCTTGAAATTCTGGAGGCCAGTTAATTAAGTTTTTCAGTTGCAGTTTTAAGACTTTTTCTTTCGTTTTTTATTTAGGACATAGAAGAAGCACATGTTCAACATTTTCCTCTCCACCGGGCTACACACAGACAGACTCGAAGCTCAACTAAATCTATTCAAATATTTTGAACTTTCTATGGCCATAGAAATTGGGTATTTATGGTTTGTGAAGAATGTGATATGACAATCTCATCTTGAGAAAGGACAACTCTTTGTTCTCCCTTTATTTGAATAATGAATTCGTGGTTCCACGACTCGCATCTTTCATACATGACCTTCTACAAGAACTCTATATACTGAATTCGAGGAAATAAGTTTAAATGAAATGCAGGAAAAAATGGGCATAATTTAATATTTCGTACAAAGAAATCTTGTGGTCTACACATCAGCTTTTTTTAAAAATCATGATACTATTTATTTCTAAATTTTTTTTACAATAAATACACAAAACTTTTATAACCTACTATAGAATACACATTCAAGAAAAGCCCTCAAGAAAATTATTTACAAGATCTATACAAGAAACGTGTACAAAGAGATCTTTGACATGTGAATTAAATTTCATTATTAAATCACCTTTTGAATGAGCTAGCGGTGGCTCTTAAGAAAATACCGCCAGTGGTTTCCTTCATTGCATCTACTTAAAGCAAGTAGAAGGGGGAACCCCGTGGGGCATAAGCAAAGGGTCGTCCTCGCCGCTCCCTGGGTGTTTTAAATTAGCAGACACCTTTGCACAAATTATTTTAATTACAATTTATAATATCTAGAACAGCGGTAATTTCGCATGAGTGCCGGGCGTTCTAGTAATATATATCAGAAATGTAAATACAAATTAATACTGTTGCAACGAGTTAATACTTTACGCAAACATAATCTAGAAGCAATAAAGATAAATTGGATATAATTGATATCTTTGACTATGCATTATCAGAAGTATTTCTTTAACATCAATAACATTCAAAAGGAAACAAAAACAACTCTGGTTAATTTGTAATGTATAATGTGATATCCCCTAATGCATTTCACATAGGTTTTAGCCGACAGCTCGACGTAATTAACTTCTAATGTAGTTCGTATCTTGTCGGATTCACTTCTTTCTCACTTTTGGCCTAGTTTTCCTCCATATACTCTTCTTCTGCATATTGCTGAAAACAGTTAATGCATCACAGTAACTTTTATGGGCATTTAATTTTTTTTAAATGCGCATGATACTGAATACTTAATCAGGCATCATGAGATTCAGATTCCGCGTATTGATCCAACAAAAATCATTCTGGCACCCGAGGATTACCACTAGTCTTAAAATTACATTTATTTATATAACCAATTTGTATCCACACTATTTATTTATACTTAGGCTTATTAATCAATCTCTAGCTCTAAAACATGAACCGAAAAACTACGGAAACATATTTTCGCTAGTTTTTTCAAATGATGGCCCTGAATAGCCTAATGGTAGACCATCAAATGACGGTGGGTACTGGGTTTAAAGCATGCTGAAACCTCTTGCTGCCATGAAAACATTCGAACTAACACAAGCATAGATAGCGAATATCAAATAGATAAATATATGCTTTTTATATACTAAAAAACTGATTCTAAAAAACTATCACAGAATTCCTGAACATTTGTCATCAAATCCCTGGATTTTCGACAGTCATACCTATTGCAGCTTCTAAATGAACTGCTTTTACTTGAAGTGAGCTTTATGTGAATAGTCGATTGCTTGCGTCCGTAAATTCTCAGCCTGTAATGTTATTAACATGTGATTTAAAGTTTCGACCACTGGAATGTAGTTATGTTGTTTGGCAAGATGCATTTTGATCAATTAAGAGACCCTCGGATTTGGAAAAAAAAAAAAAAAAAAAAAAACGAAAAGTACTTTTTCCAGGTACAACCAGAGAAATTAAATTCACGTTCTTACATATGAAGAATAATGAAATTGCAAATCCTTTTACAGGCTTTTGATGCCGAAATTCCACCAGTGCAGAAATATTTGTATTAAAAATTTGGTCTTTGTGTGCAAATTTGCATGATTCAGATTTATTATTAGTAGATTTTTTAGTCGTGAGTCTTCGAATACTGAGCTTAGCTAACAAAAATGTACACTTATCCTTCGCTTATTATGGGTATTCTTAAAAACTAACACATTGTCAAAAATCGGAAATTGGTTTACAAATGCATTTGAATAAGGCAAAAATGTAACTAATATACTATATATTATTTACGAAGGCATACAAATCGTAAATAATACACTTTATATGTACGAACGCATATACTAATGTTTAAGATGAAAACACTTCAAATTTAAAAACATAACAAAATATAAAAATTAAAAAATTTTGAATTATCGTGTTTTTTATCCTCTAATTTGTAATAAAATATGTCAAAATAAAACAAAGGAATGTATTTGAATAATTCCTCTCGTAAAAAAAAAAGAGTCTAAAGACCATACCATTGAAATGCTGGCAATAGAAAAGTGTAGCACCCTTACTTCTTAAGACTGAAATTATGTAATCAGTTCTGTATTTGCTGCAATTAGCTGAATACTATGAATTGCTTCTAGAGATGACTCTGCACGCCACGCTAACAACAAAAATTCTACGTAAACTTGGAGGATCAAATTTTATTTCTTTGGCAGAATATAATTCATCGTTACAGAATGTATCAACATGACTGTTCTGATTATTGCCAGGGATACTCGATACCGAAAGAGATTATACTTTTTATTTATTTTTAATAATCGGCTTTCCAGTATGGTGAAATGTCGATTACTCTAGTTTCTCTTTCTTTTTAAAAAATATTATTTGTCTATTACAGATATCCTTTACACTTTTTGAAATTTTCATCTTAAGGTTTCTTTATTTCTGTTAATTTTTTATTTTAACACTACTATTTTAAATCTTATGTTCCACTTAAAAGAGAATTGAATTAGTTAAGGCCACACATTTTTTCGGAAAGGTGTATTTATTGATTACCATATATAAAAAAGAGTAAGAAAAATCGAACTCTCTAAATTGCGATGCAGACAATTTAATTATATTGCCAGATCTGAAGGGATATAGCAATATTGCTAATTGTTAATGAAGCTCTGTCTCTCACTTCACCCAAGAGAGATGATTTTTTTTTTCTTTTAACATAATGTTTTACCGTTAGCAACTGCTACGTAGAAATTCATGTTCTATGAAACAAATATTAGATTTTATTTAAATTGAAACTGCAACTTCAAGACCTTTGCTCAATATCGGAATAAAAAAGCGAAAGACAAAATTCAGTGTTTTACTGACCCGAGCGTGCGACTGCTTCTATGGAAGGCACTGCTGAGGCTGAACTTGGAACTGCATTCTGAGTCGCTCCTCTCGGGACTGACTAGGGGACTGGAGGTACCGACGCCCAGCGCCGCGGCCATTCGGGATCCGCCGCCTCGACGCTGCACGAAACGGTCGTATTCTGAGTACGCACCTGAAAGATTCACAGCTTTGAAAACAAGTTATGACACAGTAAAAATAAGAACACGCAAAAGAGATGTCAATCTTTTAAATGAGACTTTGCTTTTCTTCGGAGAGATCTGAAATGAACCTATGATACATACGGTATAATATTAGTAACATCATAATATAAGTGACAATGCCAAAAGTAAGTTTAATCATTCTAAAATTTCATTCTCAAAATATCAACTTCATTAACACTTGTTGTAAAACAATGATTAGGGTAATATATAAGGATTTAACGGAACATTGGGAAGACAGTGCCATGTTGAATGAACGGTATATGTTGGTTAGTGAAGATTGGCTTCCAGGCTTACACCGAGGGCCCGACTCGATTCTTGCATAAAGATTGGCTGTCTGTATCGTCTGTTCCATCCCTTGAGGAGGCAACATTGGTCCATTTTGTGATGCCCCCAGGGCAACATCTTTGTAATACGTCAAGAAAACAAACCATGGATTCAGGCTATCTCATGGCGAATATGTCATGGTATATGGTGGTATATGGAAGGAAGATTAAAATTTAGAAGAACGCAGAATATTTAAATCGTAAAATTATATATATTAGATAAACATTCTGTATAAATGTGAGCCAAAGAAGGCCTACAAATTATAGGGGTCTGGAAACAACATTTTCAGTAGAAGAAATGAGACATTTCAATTTCCATTTGAATATTCCCTCTTATGACTGGTTTCGTTGACAACTTACAACGTTAACGTAATATCAGTTACTATTGCTCTGAATACAACACAAATATGATATATTAAATAATTCTTTAATAAAATGTATTCGTAACAATATGAAATCCTTTTAAAAGGAGTAGTAAGCGTTGAAATTTTAAAACTGCAATTACACTTTATGAAACGTTAAATTAAGGTTTTATTTTTATGATGTGTATGATCATAAATCAGTTTTACAATTAAGCTTTCATTGCATATATTTAAATTATTGACTTCTGCAGTCCGGATGAATTAATGGACTAGTTATTTGTGTTATGTCATTTTTGTATGCATCTAAAGCGGCTATAATTTAAAATTAAAAATAAAATTTTCTTAATTTCAAATTTAAGTAATCATTTCATAAATAATAATTAATGTTAGTAATAATAATTTGAATACTTGTCCAACTAATTCATAAAATTAATACTTATAAAGGTTATGTTTAAATACAAATGGATCAGGTTTATCTTTAACCTTTTTTATTCTTAAAATGTTTTGGGTAGATTCACGCTAATGAATTTAAGTTTAGGTTTTTGTCTTGATACATTTCGATAATTATATAGGAATTTTAATACTGAAGTACGGACGCTAAAAAGTTACCAAAAATTGTGGCTCCGTGAAAACTTCAACATAAGCATATTTAGGTGCTATGAAATGTTTGAAAAAGAAGAAAAATACAACATTTGAATATTTACAAGTAAAATTAATAAAAAGTAAGCTATATGCTAAACGAATTAAGTAATTTTAACCACTAAAAAACAAATCAATTGATCGAAGAAAAATAAAAATAGTAAGCTATATGTTAAACGAATTAAGTAGATTTAAAACACAGTAACATACTAATCAATTAATCGAGGTAAAAATAAAAAATAAAAATTAAGAAGCGGTAAATGGTTAATTAGCCCAATTTGGTTTAATTACATGATTCAAAATCATATGATTTTTCCTTTGCAGTAATGATAAAGACTAGATGTTTGTGCTGGTTTGGTGCATGCAAGATTTAATGGAATCGAAACAAACCCATTATTTCGGCCATCACTCAGGCGGAACAGGCAACAGTGGAACGAGTATGGATTACAAGCGAGCTGGATTTTAATGTAGATATTTGCTGTATCAGAAGAACAGACGCACAAAAAATTTGTAAAATCTATAAAAATTTAGAACATTTTTCTTTCCCCTACAATTAACAAAAACACTGTCTCCTTTTCCGTATAGAATTTTGAGGTATACTGAAATCCCCGAAACCATTAGGATTCATCCTGTAAATTTAATAAGTTAGACATGTTTTTCGAAGAAAGGTGGCTACAATTTTTACCTTCTTAAATACTTTACTTTATAATTGATAAAGTCCTCCCATACATAAAATTTCCTATATAAGGTATGGAATTTTATGAAAATAGTTTCTAAACTGAAATATAACACTTCTGTAAAATAAAAATTTAACTTATATGCAGTGGCCATTAAAAAAGTCAAGTTAAGGTGATGCTCGTTCCGGTTTAAAGTTAAATATAAAACATTCCGTACTGTTAAATGCAAAATTTGAGGAAATATGACTGTTAAGCTACTTCATTGGAACAGCTATAAAATTAATAAGAGCGCTTTTTAGCCAATATGGAGCCATTAATCGTTGAAATGAGCAACTATTTAATCTAATCAAAATAGTTTAATGGGAAACACTGAAAAATGATACAAGTTGATAAAATTTGAGGGTAACATTTATTTGCTGAAAATTTTACATTTTGGGCGTTCTATAGCAAATGTATAGAAAAATTAGATTTCATATTTACAGAAAATTTCCACTCCAATGCAAAAGCGGTTTTCATAAAATTCTTTGCCTTATTTTCAGCAACTTTATAATGTAATAAGTGTCAAAAATTAGTAGTTAATGAAATAAATCCAGCAGTCGGTTTTTTTCGTACACCCTGTATAAAACGGTTTTCTTTACATTTCCTATTTAAAGATATTAATATAAATGCACAAAATTAAAAGTTCTTTGATTGTAATAAAAACTATATATATGTAAAATAAAACTAGCAAATTTATAAATGAATAAATAGTAAGAAAAATAAAAAACACGTAAATAAAAAAAATAGTGAAATAGTAATTCTCATTTCCATTGAAAGAGCCCACTGAAATTATCATTTCATTATTCCATTAAAAGCTTTTTAGATATATATATATATAATTATATAAGTGAGAGAGAGAGAGAGAGAGGGACAGATAGATATATATCTTAACGATCTTATCTCCGGGAGCGTCGTCCAGGGTACCTACAGAAAAGACTCATGGTATACTTACAAACGACTACAAGACAACACACATCCAACTAAGTTTTCTGCTGCAGTCGAATTTACACTTTTGCTTTTAGACTTGCAGTCAGCCTCCGCTAACTATTATACCGTCTAGAGCGGCTTGGCTTAAAAAGCGTATAAACAATAAACTACTTAAAAAATTATATGCAGAAAAGTATGTAAATATACAAGTAAGTGTATTTTACCTGAGGAAGTTGCAGCTGCCGGATTTCTAGCTTTATAGAATCGTTCTTCCAAATCCGAACGAAGAGTGGGGACCTGTGGTAGCTGCCTCTTCCGGAAACTGTTGGGTGGGGGTAGGAGACGGTGAGCATTGGAGGGGCGGGGCATTGGCTGAAACTGCGGCCTGAAGTAAACGTAGAATGTAAAAACGGACAGATTAAATAAATAAATAAAAAGAGACACACAAAAATTCCATGCATCTTTAAAAAGCTAAAAAAATTTCAATTAAGGGAATAAAATTTTTTTTAAATGGCAATTTTCTATACCTAGTTCCTGCTAACACTTGCATTAGCTATTTAAATTACAATTTAAAAGCTAATGGAACTATCGAACTATTGAAATTTCTTGAAAATAAGTACATTGCGAAATAAGTACATTGAAAATAAGTACATTGAACTATTGAAATTTCTTGAAAATAAGTACATTTAACTGCATTGCGATATTTGCTTCTTGTTTATCTACTGCTTACCAATCCAATCAACTGTCCTCTTTATGAACAACTGATTAACAACGGAAGAAAAAATTCTATTACACTCAAAGATTCGGCACCTTATGCTATCAGTACAGTTGGTACAGCGCTTACAAACTGAACATATTAAAAATTCTAAATAGAATATGTCTTTATTCATTGTTGCTCGTGAGAGTGATTTAGTTAGTGTCGTTCGGATATCAGCGCCCTAAGTGGCTGTCTGTGTTACCTATACTTGAAACTGGCTTTGCCGTTAGGCGTGTTTCGAATGTAAAATGACTGCAAAAATTGCTTGATGATTCAGAAGTATATTAAATTCACTATAAATAAAAGCTGTGGCTATGAATACTTGTTGAATAATTTGAATAATGCAATCTTAAAATTGTAACGCTACATTTTCACAGAATCCGTATTTCAAAGGGAAATATTAAGGAAGTTAAACTAAACAGTAATTGGTTATTAATTAAAAAAGCAATAGAGTTTTAAATTTAAAAAATATCTAAATTTCAGGAATTATAATACGTTCCCCCCCCCCCCCCCCAAATTCCCCCCCCCCCCCCCAATTATTTGTGTGTCTTCGCACAAGAAACTTTGACTATTTCTGTTACAGCTTATAGGTGCCATTAAAGTTGCTAAAAGGAAGCATTACTTGAATATTTAAATGTTTCAAAAAGCAGATGTCAATATATTTTGCTATGGTGATACAAAAATTCTCCTTCACTGAATAAGAAGTTTGATCAAAGATTGGAAGGCCTTATGTTTCGAAATATGTACGGGAAATTAAAATAAATATCAGTACACCGCCACGATGGAAATACTGTAAAGGTACTGAAAACCTTGTTGGTATAATTTTACGTTGTTATAGTGAGGAACACTTTGCAAATGTAATAATACGAGTACTCGATCTTGTTTGTTTGGAAGAAAAAGCTTCTGCTAAACTTGAAGGAAAAAGGATTCTAAGAATAACGTAAACGGGTAGTTTATGCTTTATTTCAAGATCATCCAAAATTTAAACATCTCCTTAAATGCTATTCTTAGATTGAGTGAAATAATACAAATCTTGAAGTCTGGTAAAAACTTGAATTCAAATAGTAAAATTCTATTCCCAAATTCATTTTTTGCCGGACAAAATGCGTTGTGAATCTAAGGATGATTAACCTACTTCCAGAGGACCAAAACACGGAATGATTCTGCCAAAGAAACATTACGTTGCATAATTAATTATTATGCAGACATATATTAACTTTCAAGTGAAATCTGAAATGGGAATTTCATTCCTGTCGCAAAAGTTGTGAGTAATTAATGACCGAAAGCCAGCTAAAGAAATATCTGTAAACGTACGAAGTGCTTTAGAAGTCGAATAGATTTACGCTAGTCAAATCATTTGTGACCTCGAGCGCTTTGTTATAATCGATTAAATAGAACAACAGATCATACTTGATATTCCGCTTGCATGTGTAGTCCTAAGGACAGAAGTTTCTAGGACTGGAACCAATTTCTTGGATTCATTTACGAGAAGAATAAGAAAAGTAAGCTGTGTAATGCGAGTTGAATACTATCTTTGTAATGTAAATGCGCTTTCATAACCAGCCATTTCATTAAACGAATTACTTTATATTAAATATCCCAGTAGACGACAATATGAAGCGACACATTCCTGGGCTTGATTAAGACAGCATGATACCCTAGGCAAAGCGCTCTTTTACACAGAATCCACAAATATCCTCTTTTCTTGTTTATACGAAAGAAAAACAAGGTTATGAAGAATTATATGATGATTTGCGAGGCAAACTTGAGCCACAGAGTTGGACAATTTGGACCTAGGAGATAATCAAGCTCTTATTCATGTCTAAAATTTCTTTTACCCATATGGAAAATAGTTTAAAATCTTTCGCAGATTTGAGAAACATTAGGTCTCGGATTATTTTCCCCATTTAATGGAAAGACCAACCCAAGATGATAACTACATATAACATAATAATGAAAGATTTAGTGCTAATGAAAGAAGCTAATCCGCTAACAAAGTTGACTTAATTATCGAATTATATCGAGGCGAAGATGCAAAAGTTTGAGTTAAACCTGAAAACTTCTACTGATAAATTAAAATTCTCTGTTACAAAACTATCACTATTCTTGGCTATCTTTCTTCTGATATTTGAACTTAATTTTCATTTTTGTATTTTAGTTTTTTTCGTTAAATTCATATTCTAATTTTAGTATCATACTTTTTAAAATTAAGTATTGCGTTTAGTATTGTACATGTTTGTATTCTAATTTTGAATTTACTTAGCAAAATATAATACTGTATAAGCCATTATCCATCGAGCAACGGATGTCTGATGTCCGCTTAGAGGTGTCTTGGTATGATGATATATGATGATAACAGTAAGAACCAAATTCAAGCTGCTACATATTGGACGTAATAGAATGTTATATGACGGTGTTAAAAAGAAGAATATGGCTAAATATTCTAGAGTTTAAGTGAGAAATTAACCGGTTATTACAGAAGTTTGATTATTTAACACTTTTCCTTATAAATATTTTTCCTCGTTTGAATGTGTTCACCGTCAAGGACCAAAACATCTCGTGGAATTTAGTACACAATTATGGACACTTTGTTAACCCAATTTTTACTTTAGACGAAACTAAGTATTCTATTTGCAATATTGCATTGCAAATATTTTGTACCTCAGTTCCGGAGGCGAGAGTGACCTAGAAGAGTAATCCGGCGTTCTTCTAGAAGTAGGGTCGGCCATGGATCGCGACCGACGTCTGTTCTCGAGACCAGTCTCTCTCAAACGACCTCGGGGGTATTCGACCATAGGTGAGGCAGTCGCCAAGGAGCGTGACCGCTCACCCATTGGGGACGTCTGAGGATATGTGGGTGTAATACCCATTGGAAGGCCAGTCTGTTTTCGTCCATCTTCTTCGAAGAAGGGGGAGCTGCAATCTACTGCCATTATACGGCGCTCTGAAACAAACACATGATGTAATTAATATTAGTACAAGACATATTTCAGCTGATGGATATAACTATTATTCTATAGTTGTACTAATAGTAATAATTAGTTTCATTTTGAATAAAATTTAGGTACAAGCTGGATTCAAATTAGAGAAATTTAACAAACAGAACATTTAACATTTTAAGATTTGTTTTTATAAATCCTGATAAATTTTAATACAGATAATTAATATCAGAAATCGCCCAAGATTGTCAGTAATCAAAGCCCTCATTTGGAGATCAATGGTTACGATTTTAATTCCCAGTAAAAAACTTTTATATTTAAAATTTTGATCAACAAAATTAAACAAAAACAACTTTGATTAAAAATTTAATATTTTGAGGAGCCTAAATGTTTTATGTACCCAAACAGATGGGTGAAAATTATTTACACCAGCAATTATATTCGCCAAATATAATTTTGACGAAATTGAACTATTAATTGATTTTAATTTTTTTGCGTTGCTTTTCAGTCATGCTTCCTTTGGACAACACATAAAGACATCACTAGATCAGCATTAAAACCTGAAACCTGTCTATCTTTTATAAGGTATTCCTCCCGCCTTCTTAGCATGCCTTCCTGATGTAATGGTCAGCACGCTCGGCGCATATTCGAGAGGTTCGTGGTTCGAGTCCCAGCGAGGGCATTGCTCATTTTTCAAGTCTTCCCTATTGAAGTAACCTAAATGTCTCTACACGTTTACTATAAGATTGACAAACCTTTCTAATTTCTGTTCGAGAAAGAAAAAGGGCACCGTAAACAAAAATTTATATAATGGTTAACAACACCGATAAGATTTAATGTTTTCATTTCAAAGCATTAGATTTAAATTTAAAAAAAGAATAAATGACATGCCGAGTCAAAAATTCTTTTCATCTAAAAAAATCGTTCGATAATGATAAAAGCTATGAGGAAAATTAGCTATGAGACTACGAAGGTAAAGAATTAATTAATATAAGGCAGCAATTAAGTAATTTATGTAACTAACTAGAATGATGTTAGAATATTGAACATGAAATTTTGGATCCGGCAATGAACTCTATTGAATAGTCACACGAACGCTAGCTTCAGGGGTTTATATTCGAGACACAGAAAAACTCATGCTCTTCTGAGGCCCATAAACAGTGCTGCCGTTATTTGTATTATTGACTTACTTTTAGAAGTGTAGGTTGTCTATTTCATGTGCAGTAGAGCTCAAAACCATATTGATATGAGCTGATAATTTCAAACTTTTCAATGCACAGGCGGAGTCCGCTGCAGTGATGTGCTCGGACTATTTGTCGATGACTAGCAAAAAACCAGTGGCCTAAAGGAATGTAGATATGCTGGGTCATTGCTCTCTTTTCTGAAAAGATTACGTTGATCAACTTCAAATACCATAGAAACACCATCAATTGAAAAACCGTGGAAAAATCTAATTCTAGATATTCGTTGGTCTTTTTTATCAGTAGGAAAGGGACAATGGGATTAATTAATTTGATTACATAATTACAGATCCAGGCGTTGTCATGTACTTTATTATCTTCTTATACGTTATCTTGAACGAATACTAATCTTATTCTCTTTAACAGGGGCTTCATTGAATTTCCAATATTGTGACAGTTTGAAGTCTGTAATAGGAGACTATCTGGTTGTCTAAAAAGTCGTCACTGATTTTTTTCTATGTTCTTCAAAGGCTTTTTATTTATGTAAAGAACAATGAACAGTCAGTAAAATATTGCTGGTTTTGTGCGATACCTTTTTGCTTTCTTTTAATGAGCTTCGTAATTTTTCATTCAGAAAAGAACCTAGCTTTATCAGTGAAAAGATGAACAGGGCGGATTTACGGTCTCTTCTGAACTGAATGCTATAACCATGAAAGAAATTTTGAACAGATCGAAAAAAATTAAAAGTCTGAGAGCACGAGATCAGGAGAGTGTAATAAACATAGCAACACCTTTCATCCAAACTCCAATATATGTTTTGTCAGGGGATCAAACGTGTGTTTGGTATCCCGTTATCGGGATGGAATGGAATTCTTATATGATTAATGAGGTCTGGAAGTTTCTGGAGGATGGATTCGTTGAGATTGTTCGTTAGCGACAGCATACATTCGAAATGATTTGTAGGAGGTAGGAAGCTTGGTAGGAGCCTGGAAACAACACCACACGCAAGTTTGGCCACTGACAAAAATTATTGGAGTTTGGATGAGCGTATCATACTCACCTGATCTTGTGCCCTCAGACCTTCACTTGTTTCGATCTTTTCAAAATTTCTTTCGTATAACATTGAATTGAGATGAGACTGTAAATCAGCATCTTGCTTGGCGTTTCGCCGATAAAACTATGCTGTAAATGAGGAATTCTAAAGTTCGTTAAAATAAAGTAAAAATTTATCAAACGGAACAGGGATATACTATTGACCGATCATTGTTCTTTACATAAAAAAATGATCTATGAAGAAGATAGAAAAGATGCGTCATGACTTTTCAGACAGCCCAATAACATGTAAAAATTTAGTAACTTCTTTTTCCGCAGTCCTAGTTATACGTACCTTTATTTGATCAATAAGATAGCGAATGAATAGTTTTGCATCTCTGACAGCTACTGTAAGTGGTAAATATGTGGTATAAAGGATTTTAATAGTTGCTTTGTAGATATGAGTAGAAAAATGCATTGTTGTTGAGTTGAAAAAAGTTGAATTTTTCAACTTTTTTTATAAATAATTTTTAAATAACAAGATTTTTTAATATCGTTATTTAAAATTACAGTAAAAGATAGAAAAAGGAAGTAAAGGAACTATTGCTAGAAAATTAAAAAATCTTCATGTCAATGGCAAACCTGTACGTCACTACTGGAATGATATTCCTAGTTAGATTGTGGTCTAATGAAATTGCTCGAAGTTTTTAATTCTTGTGAGTTTGAATTAAGTCTTTTCACCTAAGTCTTATAATTTCACTAACGTTTTAAATTCTTTGGATTATATGCTATACGTTTAACGTTTTCAATTCTTTAAATAAAATAGAATTCTCTTTATTTAAGATATAAGATTCTAATTAGAATTTATTTTGTTTTTTCCCTGCTTTGGGGAATGGCCAGAATTTTCGGGAGAAACTATTATAATTAAAATACATTGAAATGGTTCATCCGCTAGTTCTGGTACAGAAAAGCAAAATTTTTGTAGAAGAGAGATTTCAATTAATTTCAATGTTCCTCCCCCCCTGACGAAGTGGCATTGAAGTTAATTGAATTCCTCTTCTGTCATGTTATTTTTTCTTTAAATTTCATTAATTTTTTTAATTGGGTTATTGCTTGTTTAAAAGTTTTTTCTTTCTTGCATTTATAGGATTATTTGAAATTTATTAATTATGAATTTCAATTTTTGGTCTTTGTGAAAAATTAGTTCTAAATTTCTTAATGTCTTTACTACATATACAGATACATTTCAGTTTAAGTTATTATAAGAACTTTTTAACTTCGTCGTCGACAGATAGACATGAGAATCGTAAACAGATAAGAAACGACAAACCTGTGTGCGCAGAAAACTTTTCATCGTAATCGGACAACTCTTCGTCGGACAATCTGCTACCAGTCGGCGAGATAGGCGTTATTTCTGGACAAGCTTTAGCTTCATCTCGATGCATTGATAAGGTGTACCACTGAGGTATGTCATTCAGTGATACGGCTCCTAAGCTGATAACGACCTTTAAAGACATAAAATTATCCATTATCAATAACTGGGACATACATATCATAGAATATCAGCACTAAACTACTTTAAGAATTTTATAGGAGCTACTTTTAATAAGAATTTTACAGACGAATTGTCTGTAGCAAAATATTTCTTGAAATTAGAGCTGCATTAATGCTTTTCCTAACATCAGGAAAAAAAAAAGAGATGAGTATATTGTGGATAGTAAGTCTTTTTTTGCTGCCAGATAGACCGCACTGCTTGCATGTGCTCCGATGCCGTCCTTGCATGAGTACAAATTTTGTATCATATGTTCGAAGAGGAAAGATTAGATAACAAAGAAAAATGTCTTTTTAAGTAAAACTGGCTTGTGCGCTAGACAACACAAAACAACGAAAACTGCGATACATTTAATCCTTTCGTTGGAAACCGAAATCTGAATCAAATTACGAATGCTCAGCAGTCGTATCCACTGAGATATTAGTGAGCTTAGAAGAAAGAATACCAGTAGCCAAAACGAAGTATCATCTATATATTTGATATTTTCTCTATCATCATAAATAGTTTTATATCAACATCGTTACTGAATACTTCATGACATTATGACTGATTACTTCATTCACGACGAAATTTTGATAATTAATATAGCGTGTAGAGAAGAGTTACATGTCAGAGTAGTGCAAACTTAGGCCAAAAAATTAGGTTAATGTCTGTTTTAAATTAAACTGTATCGATTTTGAAAGCGACTAACATCAGCCCTTCCTCTTAAGAAGCAAAGTATTTTGTTGCGAGGAGAAAATGAAGAACCAATTAAATATGAAAGACAAAATGAATACATAGGGAAAAAAAGGCAGTAATCATAGTTATGAACTTATCTATCGAACAAGAAATAATTTTAAAAAACGAAGATATGGTATTAGAACTTTAAAAGTTTTGAAAAATGGATCGGAACAAATGTCATTTAAACTAAAGTAAATAAGCTTTGCCAACGTGAAAGACTTCAAGAAAATTTATAGATTCATTAAGTTTATCAGAACAGAAAACATGAAAAATGAGAAATCTTCCCGTGGGATTCGATCTTCGGACCTCTCGATTGCTATAGCTGGTTATACTTCCAGTTACACCAAGAAGGCACGCGATTTGGGGGAGAAAATACTTTGACATTCTTCTCCATTTAAAGAGCGGCGGGGGAGGCGGAAATTCCCTCGTCAACTGTAGAGCTATTTAGAACTTTTCGAATCTAGGAAACATGAAGAATAAGCAATGCCTTCGCCAAGATTCGAACTCCTGACTTCCTGATTGCTAACCAGACGCGTTTCCAAATACACCATGATAGCACGCGATAAGGAAAAAGAAATAAGATAAGAAATTACATACGAATTTACATTTCGGAAGAGTTTTGGGATAATCTTTCCTGAAGTCAAAACTGTGGTTAAGTGATCAGCTAATAAAGGATTAACTGTTAGAGATTTATTTACTACTCTTTTTATAACAAAAGTTCATGTAATTTAAATCCAACTCTTTTAGTCTGATAGATACATGTGAAAACACACTGACCAAAAAAGTTATAAATTTCTCAATAATTAAATCCGAATTAGAAAATTTAAAGGATCTAAGACGAGTATGCGACAAATGAAAGCTATAAATCTGGGTTATTGTTTAAGTATGAAAATATCATCATGAAACTTTTCATGGGAATTTTAGGTCTTTATAATTTATTAAAAAAAATAAAGCAAATGTTTTTGACTCATACATACTCTTATAGTATAATTGTAAACACATATATTTCTGTTTCTTAACCATGTTTTATACACACATTGCTCAAAAACGAACAAAATCCTTACTTTGGAATTATGCCAGAATACAGAAAATACTTCCTTTAAATTATTGAATCTGTTTTATTATTGCTACTCAAAATATCTAAAAGTAAAGTTATGAACTTTATTCAGCACTAAAATAAAATTATGAAATTTATTTAAAAATTGATAAGGTGTACTAATATTGATAAGCTTTTTTAAAATGATGATAATTATTTATTTAATTTCTTTCTTCACCTTCTTTTTTTTTTTTTTTTTTTTTTTTTAGTCAGTCACCAGAATGCAAATTATTTTGAATTCAAATAGCAAAAAAATTTCTAGTTTAAAGACAGTGCTATGTTAACCATCCAATATTAGCCTGTGACGATAAGCCTCTTACATACCCATCCCATGGATTTGGCCAGTGAATTTTGTTCTTTTAGAAAACATGATTCGCATCTCTATTAGTTGGAGCCACGTTATTTGGTAGTAAAAGCTAGATTATGTATTATACATATTTAAATATTTCATTACTGAAAGCCCTAAAGTAGCGTTGGCTAGTCTTTATTAAATTTTAGTTGTACTACAAGTTGCAGTTTTAATAAATATTTTAATTACGTTTTACCTCTTACCCTAGTTAAATGAAGTTTAGTTAGCTTTCTGTTTAGTGCCTCTTCAAAGCAAAAGACGGTTAAACAGGAGTAATACAAGTATGATATCTAATTAAGTTCAATCTTACATCGTTTCATGATTATCACATATAGTTGCAACCTAGACATTCAAAATTCATACATTCGCTTATTTTATGCAACAAATATTTTAAAATTGAAAACGTTAGAAACATTGAAATTTATTATTTAATTTATTAAAAAACATTGACTTTAAAATTAAAATTCAGACATTTATATTAAGGTAGTACAGAGTTATTTTCTATAGTAATTTTGTTTTCGTCGTAAAGTCAAACACTAATATAATAGAGACCTGATATTGTTTTTTTTCTTTTTAAATCTGACTTTTGCTTTTTGATGTGCGATGTGCAAAATTCTGGTAAGAGGGTTTAAGATTCCTGTCACATTGAAAAATTACCAATACTGCATTATAATACTATATTATAAAAATCATAAAACGGATAATTTCCGTACTCTAAGAGTCATGCTGAAATGCAAAATTAATAATATTTCTTTCTGTGTGCTAAATCATCTACTCATTTAGCAACGGTCTCATACGAAACTATCTTTTCTCTATCAAAGCGTGCAACAGGTATCATATGCCCACTCAGGATTTCACAGTTCTGCATCTAACAGCAGTACAGTTCATTTCGTTTCTTGAGCAATCAAATTTGTAAAATAACTGATCTCGATAGCCTCTTCAGAAACTGATAAGAAGACAACGCTCGCTTAAGATGAATAATAAAAGGAAAGGAAAATTATTGCTTGATTCGTCTTTCGATTTGAATTTAATAGTTGGATGAATCGAAATCGAAACAAATGAAACGGGAAAATGATCTCAATATAAAAAATTTAGCACAACAACAACAAAACGAAACAAAATCTTTTAAAAACATTTGAGCTCAGAATAGTGCATGTAAATGTCAGCAAGCGCTGGACTGAGGAGGATACTCACAGCTAATCTTTCAATGTGGCAAAAAGTGCTTATTTTGAAAATCTGCAAGAAAACAATTGAGTTAAAAAAGGAATTTCAAATGAAATTGAGGAGAAAAAGTGTTAAAAGATCAATTACAAAAAAAAAAAAAAAAAAAAAAAAAAAAAAAAAAACTGAAAACTAAAAGATGGAATGAAAAACTTAGTTGAAGAAAAGGAAAGTCGAAGCACGAAAAAACTAAAATATAAATAAGTGATAAAAAATCTTAGGGAAAAGAATCACACAGTAGGATTATTAATATTACATAAATGGGGATATAAAGAAAGACCATAGCTATTACATTTAAAAACGATGATTTAAGAGTTTAAGCTAATACTGAAGGGGGGAAGAGTTTCATGTTTTCTTCTTTTTCAATTTTACTTAATTATTCTAATCTTTATATTTTAATGAAATTTTTGTTCTTAATTTTCTGGTCTTTTATTTCTGCCTTCCTTTATTTTCGTTTATTTATTTTTTGTTCTCCGCCTCTGTTGTTTTCCGTCTTTGCTTAAAACCTTTAAACTGAAGCACTCGCTAATCTCAATGTTTCTTGAATGAGTCCATATTTCAAAATAATTTCAGGCTTCATTTACAAGATTTTATGATATATTTTATATTATTTCCTTCCTACAAAGTGATAATAATGATAGATATTATTCGCAACTAGGAAATTAAGAGCATTTTCCTGATTACATTTGACAAAATTAAAATAAAATACAGGCAAAGATCAAGATATGAAAATGGATCCTATTACCTCTCCTAAAAAATCACTGAATGCATTCCTCCTGTCATAGTCCCAAGCACTGATCTGAAGAGCACTTCTCCTCAGCTCCGTTTGCCTCAAGTGATGGAAGAAAAACCTTTGATTAAACTGCGGATCATTCGTCTCTGCTATCGTCTTTGAACGACGCTTATTTTTCTCACTGCAGAACAACAGAACAAGATTAGGTGCAAGGCAGTTCAATAAATAAACACATAAAAGATCAACTGATTCTGATTAAAAATACCCTTGTTTAATTGGGATAACTGTTTATTTGAAACAAATATCAATCAATAAATTACCAGGTTTTTCATTACTTTGCATGCAGTTTATTTATTACATTCTTCAAAGCACGGAAATGAATCAGTCTGGGTATCTGGCGTTTTTTCAGACAAATAAAAACTATAACACTTAAAGGAATCTCTTTACTAGCATGCTTACGAAGCCTAAAAGAAGCTTTTAGGTTCTTCCTGCTCTCAAAGTGTTTTCTTTACTACTGCAATAAAGAATGATCATGGCATGATTAACTGGACTAAATGACTTCAGAAGAGGTTAAGAAATGTGTTGATTAGTTGTATCTCTACTTTAGGTGGAAACTCAACAAATGCAGTGTCTCTTACAGTAAATGCTACTGCTGATCTGTTTATTCACAATTATGCCATATGAAATCTCAGTTTAATGAAATCTCAAGGATCACTGCACAGATTTCTTCAGCAGATTAGGAAAGTACTAAGACATGTTTATACTTTAGGAAAATAGATATGATTAAATACTTTTTTGTCTTCGCATGGTTAGATGCCAAACAATTATGCATTTGAAATGATTAGTGCATACATTTATATTGAAGAAAAACGGACAGAATCTTGTAGATAGCATAGAAGAAAAAGAAACCCGAATTATTATTTTTATTACACAAATATAGAAATCTCATTGAAAAAGATAAGAGTATGTTCTATATCTGATGCATATAAAATGCTCACTGTAATAAGTTTGAGAAAATATCATGAAAAAAAGAAATCATTATGTCTAAAAAATAATGCACGTTTTAGTAAAAATTAATATTATTGAGTTAACATCAGTATTAAGACTGCAGGTTCATCTGATCCAGAAATTCAGTATGTTCATTGTGCTACAAAAGCTAGGCTATGATGTATAATTTCATCGATGCCTGAAAAAGAGATTTTATCCCCTTTTTTTCCACACTTCACAGCAGTTTTAAAATTTGCACTATCTTTTTGTTGCTAGTAAATTAAAATGAAACTAACAATACAAGTTACATGAGCTCGATGTAAGTTTTAAATTTAACGCTACACAAATAGGAGAAAACTAATTATTTTAAGTTTTGTAAAACATAATTTTACATAAATCTAATATAATCAAAATGGTACAAACGTCAATTTTCTGAAATACAAATGTGAAAAAAAGGCGCTTGAGTCAGATTCGCTGAAATTCTACAGTTCAATTACAATTTATGAATGCAAGAGGACAAAGAACAGAAATCATGTTGAAAATATACATTTAATTAAATGATGCTAATTTGTAGCGATTAATATAACTAAACTATGAGTGATAAGCATTTAACAAACAGCAATGAAAACAAATAACCTTTTGTCTGGTAGAAGGACGATTTTTATGTACGGATTCCTCCGCGACATATCAGGTCTGGGCGGCAAATCTTTTGCACATACTACTGTCACAATTAGCTGATAGTTTTGCTGATCGTACCATAATCCGACCTAGGGAAACGAAAACAAAATAAATACAAAATTTAAATAATTATGATAAAATACAAAGTTTTTTAATGCAAGTACTGAATACAAGATGAACCTTTGAAACAGAAAGTACAGTATTAAGCTAAAATACATCAAATCTTTCAATTTAAATTAAAATTACCAAGTCTTATCTATCCCACAGAGTCTGTAAGATGTTCTGAAACCGTATTTTAAATGTAAAACTCGTTTAATATTTTACCTCATGGAAGTTGTATCTTTTAAATCACGTCATTCTCGGACCTGACGGAATCGCAGAAAGTGGAGCAAAAGAGAAATGAATTCCTGAGAGAATATCTTAGAGATTGATTTTTACTTTGCTTAATTTTCTGGAATCTTTTAAGGCCTGTCTACACGAGAAGACATATCTCTGAACAAGTCTACCTCGCAGATATGTCTCCTGAAAAATTTCATCTACACAGAGAGATTTTGTATCTAAGTTCTTCTGAGCTACTGAGGAAATCAGAATAGCTAAAGGAGATGACGCGATTTGCATCCAATAGGAAACCTCCTTCGATCTCACTAGAAGCAGATAAATCTGCAAAGTTTCCAATGCCTTTAATTTTCAGGGTTTATTTTTTTAAATAAGTTGTAATAATAATCATAGTAATAATAAATAGAAGGCTTAATGGCAGAGAGAAAGTAACAGTGATTAAAAATGCCATTAAAAATACAAAAAATACGAAACATAAATAAAAATTGTATAGTTAAAAATATAAAATAAAAAAAAATTAATGTAATATATATTGCATTTTAAAACCTTTTTTTGATCTCACATCCGTATATAATATATATATGCATGTAAGATAAAAATATGTAACTATAAATTATAATTTAAATTAGCAGTAGACCATTAATGCTTAATTTTAATTTGTGTATTTCTCCTCTCTATTCGAAAAATAATAATCATTTTCTGAACTACTTAGTTTTGAGACTAATCCATGTCATATGCGTCTTACATAATGCTGGTGATATAAATGGAACTAAAACTCAAACAGCCAATAATAATTTTAAAGCGTTATTAGTTATCCAATTAAATGCGTTGAAAACCGAAACTAATTCTGCTTTAAGATTTCATCCTGAACACTTGCTTTCTGCACTTCTGCTCTGCCTGGGTAGACTGCTGCTTGCTGCTTCTCTTTTCACCACAAAGCTATCCTAAATATTAATGTTTTGAAATAGGCATGAATTAGAATGCCAAGTGTTGCTTGTCGCTATGGCTCAATACCCTCAACTGTTTCTTCAACATCATTACATCCAAGTTTGTATTATATATATACTATGTGATATTTTACTGGAAGCGAGGCGATGATCGAAGAAACCCGATACTTTTAATTTCCGCCAGTCGTAATGGCTGAGGGTGAAGGCATGAAGACGAAGCTAATAAAACTGAAGAACAAAACTGAAGAAACTGAATACTCGCAATGTTTATTCCTTTTACATCCAATCATGTTTTTGGAGACAAAATATTTTTTGACCATAGTTCAATACAATATTTTTTATGTACACGGGTTTTAGGTAAAAAGCAAAAGGGATACAATTAAGCATAGCAGTGAAGAGATGTTTTGCAGGGCACGGGAGACGTTGAAAAAGAATGACGTAGTTGCTCCCGAAGCAGTATTTATACTAGGCAGGTGCATATGTAGAGCTAAGCTGCGATTAGTTAATTTTCAGGTTTTAGTTCTCTTTGCAAGCAACGTTATGTAAAGATCATATGATCGTGGAAAGACCTCAAATTTGGGGGAAAAGATGAACTTAAGGGGAGAACATAAAATTTAGAATAGTCAATTTTGAGGTTGCCAATAATTTCCTAACGTGCCATAGTATTTTATTATATCTGATATATATATATAACTGTTCCTTCAGCATCATTACATCTAAGTTTGCTAACAGTCTAAATCTGCAATATATAACATACACACATACATATATATATATATATATATATATATATATATATATATATATATAAACTTTAATTATTAATATCGATTATTCTTTTGGAAATGAAGAGTAAAAACTTTTGTAATTATTAAAATTATTAAAATTAATTTCTTAGGAAAAGGAATTTACACTATGGATGTAAAACGTATTAAAAATTTATCTGAATTTTAAAAATATAAAAATAAAAATTACACAGACAAAATAGAAACGTAACCAAAAATAAAATTTTTTAAGTAAAATTACTGTTGATTGCATGGTAAAAGGCTGACCCTTCCAAGAGAAATTTGACCTTTTCTATAAAAACACTAATAACTAGAAAATTAGAAAACTAATTAAAAAACTGATCGCGTTTTGTATCTTTCGTATATTTGAATGAAATCCAAATTAAAAATGATAAAAAATATTTCGATTTGATTTTAAATGAATTTATTTTCAAACACACACACAAAACAAATATCTCGAAGCGATCCAATAACAAAGGAAATTCAGAAAAACGTGATTGGTGGGTAAAACATTCATAAACATTCACAAACACTTATGCCGGTAAAACATAACGAATAAAAAATATAAATATGATCTAGGATAGACTACTGATAGGTACCTAATTATTTAAAAATGATAATCCAGTTTTATTAAAATCTGATGTCTATATATTATCATTATATAAAAGCAGAAAATAAACCTATTACTTCATATATATCATAAAATATAGCACACATTGTTGATAAGTAGATTCATCCTATGCCATATTCTCAAGCACAGGAAACAGGAAACATTTTATCATTTTATAGATAACATAAAATTCTAATAATTATAGTTATATAATTGATATAAAATTATAATGTAAATAATTTATTGATATACCAATTTATGTATAATAATAAAATAACGTAAAATTATTACTGTATGTTACATGTTAAAATTTTAATATTTTTTATATTAACAGCGTTAACTACAGAATTACAGAAACAATAAAACATCTATTTTCAGTGAAAGAAATCAGAAAAAACTCAACTATATTCAAACTCACAATCTGCTTGTGAACGGAAAATTTACACTTTCGTTAATGCGCCAAGCCATCGAGCTAGCCCTAGTTTTCTAGCCCAAAAGTTGAAAAGTCATTAAAAATAGAAAATCGGAAATATTATTATTAAACGTTTCTTGTTTGCCAGACTTCTCGGTATCTCCTTAATCCGGAAACAATATTCCAGCATATTTAGTTAATACTAATAAATTAGATTAAAAAGCACATCGCTTTATAGCTTACAGTAGCAAATTATTTGTATCACGGTGAAAAAATATTCTATTTATAAAGAAATCAATCGGAAAATTTGATCCGAAACAAATACGGCATCCTAAATTGAGTTTGTTAAAATAATAACAAAAACTCTAAATTCTTCGCGCCATATATTATTCATATCGCCGCTATTCTCAGCTAAGAGGTGAGAAAACCGCCGTTGCTTTTCGGACACATGATTTCGATACGCAATTTCACTGGCTGTTGCCAAATATTCTCTTCGGCGACAATGTATCTCGTCATGCAGAATTGATCACGACTCTGGAGCAGGCGCAGCAGACATGTATCTCACGCTCCCGAGAGATATGTTTCCTGTGTAAAAGGACTGACGCAAGCGCCACAGACTTGCACAGATGCTTGTTTGGAGATATGTCTCCTCGTTTAAACGAGGCTTTATACACCAATAAACATAAACTAATAATATTGCTAGCTATCTTAATATACATGATGCTATAATATCAAACCTAGACTAAAGCTTAAATTAGGAGAGAATATATATATATATATATATGCACATTTTTTTATGAAGATAATTGTCATACTCAACAAACATCTCCTTAAATGTGCTTATAGTTTCATTACGCTGGTGCTTAAATCACTTCATAGGAGCATTTTAACTCTGAACTTTTGCAACATTTAAAACTGTTCACCATTTTTAAACTTTTCTATCATTCATTTCAGCTAAAATACTTTATAAAATCTTCGACTTTGTTTAAGTTACAACAACTGAAGATTGGATTCCGTTTAAGAGCACGCCGTTGACAAATTCTCTGAATTTTTCATCACTCTTTTCTGTCAATTTTTTTTTGTATGAGTCCTCTAACCTTTTCAAAAAATCCCCCATTTTAAACCTTCGAAAATCAGTTATTAATGGACTTTTATTATTACTAGGTAACCAAAAGCGTTCTTGCCGTTCGTGATAATCAAAGACAAACATATAGCACGTGGTACTCAGCGTAAGATCTCGAAGTTACCTCCATGAGTATCCAGAATCCTTTTCGAACGCTTCTGCAGCTGTGCAAAGCCCTGGCAACAAAGCCTGTGGGTCATGGGCGTAAAGAAGTTCGTGAGTGCGCGCTACAACTGCGCAAGCTGCCGAAGGATTTCCCTCGAGGTGCTTATCCAGGAACTGCAATATTTGGTAATTTCTTTGCTCTGGCTCCAACGAGCATTGTATCTCGTAACCAAGTAACTGAATGGTGTCTGGTCGTCCTTGCCATGTATTCGCGTTGTCGTGGAAGTGCAGCACACTTTGCAATCTGATTCCTTCTGTTGCAATGTATGTTACGCCTATTGAAACTACTGAAAATACAGCTCCTCAGTGATAGTATGGCCTGGCGAAAGTAGTTAGTACTATAACACTTGGTGGCCAGTCCACCAGACACACAGTAGGATTTTATGGGAGTGTAGAGGTGGCCTTGCTATATTAAGCACAGGATCACGTCGTGACAGCCAATGTTCGGTATGCTTGGGAGTATCAGGACCCACCTTTCGTCTCATAAGCAGTCGACCAAATAGGTGCGTGTTGCAGTACTAAGAAGCAAGGACAACAAACTGTCACTCGTTGTTCATTGTTCACTGTCAACAATGTCTGAGGTACTCGCTTGGAAAACCATAAATATGCCATTGTAACCAGCCCTTTCGCTGGGACTTTTCTCGGAACAAGATATATTGCTTTTATAATCAAATGAAGCAAAATCATGATAATGTAAAATTTAAAATTGGTCAAAGTGACTTTATTTTGGAGTATGTTTTGAATAAAAGTCTATGACCTCAATAAACCTGAGTTTTATTCAAAACTTACGCCAGAATAAAAATGTATGTTTGCTTGGAAAGAAGATATATTGTTTTAAATATCTGCTTATCACTTTGCATGAAGACTTTTACTTATGTAACAAGTTTTAATTTCAGAAAACCCACCTGCTGCGTAGCGGTACCTCAAATTTAAATTAATAAACATAAGAATGCATCAATGCGAGTGAACTGTAGTTCAACTTTTATTTTAGCGATTTCAACTTTAGAATACAACACAGCAAAAGGCAAAGCGTGAAAGTTACAGTTAGCGTTTGCAAGAATGCAAAAACAAAATGCGAGCTGCGCATGCGAACTGCGCGTTGCGAAATAAGATCTCACAGACAGGCAGACAGACAACTCTGGTGACCGAAACACCACCAGTGGCTGAGAGATAAAATAACTGAACACCGGTAGTTCAGTGATTCACTTGAAATTGTTGCTAATGGGCTGTCTACATGGGATATTTCATGATTTTGCAAACGTGAAACGTGAATAAATCCAGTCCCATAGAACGACGTTCACGAATGTATCGTTCCTCTCAGGCAGATAGCTCTCGAGTGTTTCTCATAATGTAAGTAATAAAATGTAACCGAATATACATGCTGAGAAGAAAACTATATATGTGAAAGCAGGATTAGGGACAGAATTCAATTATTCCACATTAAAGTTCACATCTTTGCTACTGTAAAAGCAGCAAAGCTACATATTCCAGTTTTTTATACTAAACAAACTATAAGTAATATAATAAAACAAGAACTAAAGACTGGATTCCCTATGATATAGCATTATTCATATTTTCTTTACTTTGTATAATTTTTGAAGAAACGAATTAGACATTTTAGAGGTAACTAATATTACTTGCTTTCACCTTATGACTAGGTTTTCTTCCGTAAGGCTATGGTACTTTGGAATATGATTCGACGCCTCGTTTCTCATAACCCCGCCTTCATTTCATGTACGGAAATTTTTATTTTCCGTTCTTATTACTCAAATTTTGTTACTTTCTATTATGTATAAAAGTGATATACGTTATTTTAATTTAATGACGATTAATTTGTAATAGTTGATTTCTGTCTGAAGCAAGTCGTGAAAAAGCCTTGGATATTCTTAAAAGTACAATTCATCGTTCTTAATTTATTAGTAATGCACCAAGCATACATATGCTACTCTGAATTTAAAATAGTAAGGATTTATTACCTGTATTCGCCCACCAATCGATGACCTGTCAGGAGATCTGGCTGGGACATGGCTCGTACGTCTATCCGAGTACCTGAGATAACGTGGATCTGCAAGAAAATAAATCAGAGTTAAGACTATTGAAAAAAATCGAGTGCTACACTTGACAAGAAATTAGCAATGCCCGTACCTCGCTGTAAGGCTTCGGGATGGACTTCCAGATGTGGTGGGGGTAATCTCCTCAATTCGCTGGGATCGAGGGGAGGCGGAGGATCTCTGAAAATATATCACAAGAATTATTTTGGGGGAATTTTATAAATAATTTTAAAATCGATAAAAATTTTATAAATAATTTTAAATCGATTAATTTATATTTCAGAGACTAGTACGAATTATTATAATTTTAGCTGATAGGTTTCATATTCAGTCGATGAATTTAACTGAATACAGTTACAGTTAATAAGAAGCAATCTAAAGCGGAGTAAGTGAGAGAATATTTTGTTAAGGAAATTAGGTTTAATAAGCAGTTCCAATTCTGGTGCAGAAAAGTAATTCAAACAGGTTAAATGAGTACTATTCAGCTTACATTAATAAGTACGCATTAAGTATTTGAAACTGGAGATTACACACTAAACTGAAACTAGAAAAAAGCTGATGAGCATCGATTTCGAAGTATTTTACGAGAAAGAAAAGTTTTGCAATATTTTTATAAAAGTATGCTAGACAGCTATATCATGTATGCGATTCGTTCAACCTGCGTAAGGCATTCAGCATTAATGTCTGTGTATCAGTGATTTATTCGTTCTGAATCTTTCTACTTCTCCATATCTAGTAGAAACATTTGTGATGAGGGAAAGAAAAATTCATTGGATCGTACTTCCGAAATTAGATGATATCAAAAAATTTCGTTTAAGTGATAGAAATCTCCAAGATCAGCTGCAATGTGGTAACCCATAAATCGTAGAATTTGACAACGAGTACTAAATAATAGAGTCAAAACCAGCAATTAGCATTGGAAATTATCTGGATGAATTAGGTATATCACAAAATATAGCAAAGCCATCAAGTAGACAAGGTTAGGCTCTTCACAACGCTCCAATTCAATAACTATTTATTTACAGAAGTTGGAAAAAGGAAGACACTATTACGTTTAATTCTCGAAGGCAGTAGTTGCTTTAGAGCAGACTATGACCTAGTGACGTCATATGTTCAAAGATTTCTGGTCCAGAAGAGCTATCCTTGCTCGTTATCATTACGACCGTAGCAAGTTAAACACAAGCTGACATCGGATTAAACAAATAGCCAAATGGAAACACGAAAGGAACTAAGAATCCATGATATACAATTCTTTAAGAGAATTGCTACCTATGATTAAAAAGTAGATTTAATTTCGTAACTTTATATAAAAAAACAGGTGTTGGACCCTTGTCAGTTTCCTGAACCAGTTACCAAATGTAAATGCTTTGAACAAATAACTGATGCTTTGAGATCAGTGGAATTTTGAGAATATAATCTATTACGAGTTCATTCCAAATGATTGTAATATGAACGCCGACCTATACGCCTACTTACAGAGGATTTATGTCATACCGAAGAAGAAGTACTTGATACTAGTAAAGCGGGCTACAAAAAGATAATGTTAAATTTTATTATTCGCACGATCTTGAGAAATTGAATATCCACATCCAATATATAGTATGTCATTCGCGAGAAGGATTATAACTTGGTCCAGTCCGAGGTCCATTTCCTTCGCAGACGACATTTCAGCAACGTCGAAGAGTTGGAAGGGGAAAAGCATTTTTGTTCGCCGCGGAAGCCGGGGGGAGGAAAGAATTGGTAACGCTGAGGCATTTAAGATCCCAATAGAGAGACTGAAGATGGCTTCAGACAGTGCGAAGCTTTAAACGCTAGTAATGCTTCGCTATAAAGTTTAAGTTATAAAGTGACCAAAATATTGCCAAACGTTTAACTCGCTTCAGTATTTTCATTTGACTTTCAGTTTAAATGAAATCGACAGCCTTGAAATTGAGGCCGAAATGGTGAGAAATTTCCCAGACGTTCTGTCAAGTACTAGCATGCTCTTACGCTCAGAAAACTGAGCAGACTATTTAATTATACTTTCGCTAGGTTTTAAGTCATATTTCCTGAAACAAATTACGTGTCTGTTTAAAATGATAATGTGTTTAAAAGTTAATTTATGAAATTTTTATCTACTTGCAAGTATTTAATCTTCGCCTCTTGCTAGGTAGTTGCATTTTCGTGATTTTCAATTAAACTGTAAACAATGCGATGTTTAAAGCCTGTGCTTTTTTAAAAGTGGTTTTCTTAAATTTGGATAAATATTACATACCATTTTATATAATTTATAAATGATGTATTTAATTATTTTTATATTGAAAGAGTAGTCATCGATCAATCTTCAAATATTTAGGCAGTGATTCATTGAAATGCTCGAAAATGTGCCACCAAATGTTAGAAAAGCACTTGTTTTAGATTCCACAGGTGTTGCTGTATAGATTTTCAGATCTTTACCAAACTTTGCAGTTGATCTTATAAATTCTGATTTAGGTTAAGATAAAGGGACTATAAAAGCGTAGTAAACTCATTTGAATACTTTTTTAGTTGTCTGCCTTGCATTCGAGATAATTGTAGCATGATATTGTCTTACGAAAACATAGGTTAAGTGCGAGAAAAAAGATTCTTCATGAAAGAGATTTAAAATTCGTAAAAATGTTAACAAACTATTAATGTGAGAGAAAATCTCTATGTTTAAAAATTGTCAAGGAAGATACATTAATAGACTACCCAGGATATTCATATTTATTCAGCGTGACATTAATATAGTCCATTTAAACAGAATTTGCTATTATGTTGCTTAGGAATTTTACAACTGCAGTTCATTCTTTATATGTCTTGTAATGAACAAAAACATATGATATGTACTGCGGTTGCTATCGGCTTCTTTTAGTCAAAGGATAACAAATACTTCCTGTGCTTAGGCTTAGACTAACCCTCATTGTGTGATCTGTTGAAGGGTAACTGCTCGAATTCTTGTAATGACGTGGTTGCAATCTGCTCTCGCATCGAGAGTCAGTGCTCGTTCAAAGCCTTATTTCCATCTTCTCCCAGATGTTTACTGAATTTCTTTGAGTTGTTAAGTACAGGATAATGTTTAGAATAAAAACTGGAAATCTTTAATTGTAAAAACAGAGTTAAAGGACTTTGATGCTATAATATAGAGGCGCTCAGATATTATTTCGTTACGTTCTCAAGGTTATATATTTGTTTTCAAATGCATAGTGTTGCTTTCCTTTATACAGCCGGCCCACCAGCGGCCGAGCGGTAACGTCGCTGAACACTGGTAGTTCGGTCCGAGGTTCGAATCCCGCGAACGGGCTGGCTGCATAGCGTTTTCGTGGTTTTCCCCATGTGTAACGTGTATACGAGCCAGTTTTCCTTAGAAAGTCCTCCACGAAGGCATCCCTCCCTTAAGGCAGATAGCCCTCGAGTGCTTTGCCGTAACCTAATAAAACCAAACCAAACCTTTTATACAGTCACTACCAGTTTCCGCCTTTTCTTCTGATATGAGCGCTAATAGTTATGTTTCTTATTATATCAACCTCTAGAAATGATCTGTCAGTTCAGCTTGTAGAGACATTAGGTATTTTTGTAGCAGGAGTCATGAAAAATGAGGAATATCTTCGCCGGGACTCGAACCACGGATCTCTCGAATACGCGCCGAGCGTGCTGACCACTACACCACGAAGGCATGCCAAGAAGGCGGAAGAAATACCTTATAAGCTTATTTAAAAGAATTATTTTATTGCGTGTTATTTATCATTTATAGTATTTCTTATCTGCGTTAAAAAACATTATTTATTTAAATGTCTGTAACAGTATATGTTGATTATTTATTTAAATCTTGAAAGCCGCTAAATTGCTAAAAGCTTTTTTGATAAACTTCGGGATATTATAAACCGAAAGAAATCTAGCCACCTATAAAATACTTAATATTTCCTGCCAATTTAATAAGAAGAACAGATAGGTATAATGCGATAAAAAACATTTATACGTATCTCCTGAAGAGGAACGAATCTTAACATTAAGAGAGAATATCAAAAAGATAATGTATCTTAAATTATTAATAATAATAATAATCTCACCCAAAACGCCTGGTAAGGACCAGTTGCACTTGAGAGTCATTCTTGGACAGAGCGATGATGCTAGCTACTGTTTCTTTGCTTTTTCCTCGAAGTGGAGTTCCATTCCACTCAAGAACTTCATCACCTATAGGAAAACATATACAACATTCGTAGCTTTTTTATCACATTACCTTTTAAATTATCAAGCTGCAATGCAAATGAGGGTTCAATTATATACGTATGTTATTTATATATCCGTTTAATGTTCTTGGAATTCAAGCTAAAGGCAAGACGGCTATCGGATTACGTTATAGCTGAAGTATTTAAAATAATTCTGCAGTTTCAAATATTTAGCTGAGTAGTTGACTTTTAAATGGGTGAGAATGAAGCAGACAATTTTTAATCTTACGTTATTCAGACCGAAACTCTTATTTCAAATGCGTCATACAATGATACATCCTACTGGTAAATAACCACTTCACAGTAACCGTCAATAAAAACTGTCTCGAAAATAAATGTGTGTACTCGTTCATCCCGCGATTCTTTGGACTTTTTTTAGATTGTTTTCGCTTCCTCTGAACTACAGTGTCATTTCGAATGAAAGTTTTTCCTGACATGGAAGAGGAAAAAAGAATGATACATTCCACTTTTACAATCGTGACAAAAACATACCTCTAGAAGCTTTGTCTATAATTACCTATCTTATTTGCATTAAGACACGAAGTTGCGTCCGTGCAAACTCCGATCAACATTCAACGCAAAAAACTATCGTTTCTGTTACTATTCAAAAGTGATACTAATTCCAAGTTGAATATTTAATAACATTTAAAGTAGTGCGCTCCTTCAGTTTTGACTTACTTAAACGACTGTATTTGGATTCTTCGCTTTTCTCCCTAAAAGCGAAAATCATGTGCACGGTATAGCTATATCGAGGGGAATAGTTTCAAATTAAGCATTTAACAAAATAAACTAAGCTTTAGGGTTTTGACAGTCTTAACCAAATTCCAAAATTTTAAAAAATATGTGAAATATAAATTGTTTCATTAACTCTCTTACAAAGAACGTTCCAAACAGCTATTTTTCTCCATGATCTTATACGTAATTTAAAAAATATTGTCTTTAATGTCTCAGTTACTGTTTTAAAAATTGTCAAAATTATATGGTTTAGAATATTTGCACCCGATATTAAGATCGGATCACTAGCTGGAACACAATAAATGATTGATTCTTTTGACAAGAAAATTTGGTAGATGCTTTATTCCTGTTTAATTTGATAAGTAAGTTTTAATTAAATTATTTAGCCTTTGTGTCCTAAAACTTAATTTGAAGCTAAGATGTCTGAAAAATGAAAACGTCTCTCTGAAAGATACAACTAAAATATATTAAGAAACTTTGAAAAAAGTACAAAAATTGATGGAAATATAACTGACGAAAAAAAACTGAACGCTTTTGTGTCAACACTGAAAACAAATGTTTCCTGAGAGAAAGAATTTAGAAGAAAGAACAAACGTTTTAAGGAAACGCAGTTGAAAGAAGCTGCATATTCAAGGCGACAATATCTATACCTTTAAAACTAGTTCCTCAAACTTACGAACTTGGTGGTCATTGCGGTCATTAAGCATGATTTTCCTAATTGTTGAGCTCGATTTTATGTTTTGGAGAACTTGTAGAGACATTAGGTATTTTTAGAAGCAGGAAAGATGAAAAATGAGCAATTGCCTTCGCTGGGACCTCTGGAATACCGGGCCAGCGTGCAGAATCACTACACCACGAAGGAACGCTAGGGAGGCGGGAGAAATACCTTATAAACTAACGACTTGTTTTCTGATGACATGCTACATCTAAGTTATTCAATTCAACTGACAATGTTTTGAAGTTATGCAGAATCAAAAGATACTACGTTAAGATAGAGTGTAGAATGATTTTAATATCTTAAGGTAAATAAATGTGTCCAGCACTGTAAAAAAAAAGGGGGTTACTTACAGTTGCTGAAATAGTGGTTAATGGAAAACAATACAAATTGAATCTACGAGGAACACACTTAAGACTAGAGCAAACTATTTAAATATTAAATTAAATGAAATTTGAGATCAATCACTCGTTCAAAAGATAGATTTTAATTGCCTCTAATATTAGCCTAAGCATTAGGTTTTAAAATAATCTGGCACCAGTCTAACTTAAATATTTTCCTAGAGTTAATATTGACCCCTTAATTTTTATACTTAACAGATGTAAGGATTAGTGAAAACAAAAGAATTTTTCCATAGTTATAATTACATAACTTGGAATTCTTCGGCTGAAATTAAAACCTTATTTTCTTAGATGTTATCATATTTTCTTGGCGTACAGTTCTTTACCTATGTTTCTTTCAATTATTATTACGTAATTTCATTTGATTTTACAACCAACTATCATAGCATAAATTACGATACTTGCTAGATTAAACATCCGATAAGGATACAAAAATTGGTTGCACTATGTAATAATACGTAATGTAAGATTCTTTCTGGTATACACTTATGTTAAAATTATATTTCGAAAAACATTCGCGCATCTGTGGACTAGTAAATAAAACCGCTGAACAGTGATAATTCGACATGGATTCAGATCCCAGAGGACAGCGATCACAGCTAAGTGAATTATTTTGCGGTTTATCGCTTGTGCAATATGAATACAAATTATTTTTTGATAAAATTTCTTTAATGGAGTCATCCTTCTCTTAAGCGGGTAGTTCTCAAAAATAAAAAGAGTTTACATAAATACATATGCAAAATATAAAAATGTTTGCCGTGTCTCGCATAACTCAAAAACGAGTAGCCTCAGAACGTTGAAATTTTGTATATAGGATTGCTATAACATATAGATGTGCATCTTGTATTTTGGTTGCAATCGACCGCACCAAAAATATATGTATGTATACATCCACTCTGTTACTCGGCTCAGTAAACTCAGTTTCTTTATTCTTATATGTTTGTAAATTGTGCATTTTTTTTCTTTAAAAATGATTGAATTATGTTGTACTTATCTTCCGGTTAAGTTTTTTATGCCTTTAGTAAATATGCATGCAATATTTTTAGAATTATCAACAACTTAAAAGTTGTTTAAGTGCCGCTAAGACTAATTATTTTTGCCATGGCGGCCATGTTTCTTTACATTTGAAACAGCAGACTAGTAGATTTGATGCCAATCTAGAGAAAGTAAGCTTCGCAATAACAAAGATAACGCCTTCTTTTATTATTCCGAATTAAATCATGCTTAATTCATTCTGGAATTTATTCGAGGAAATAAGTGTTTAAGATTTACTTCATAATTTTCAATGCAGGTATTTGAAAACTGAATTAATTGAATGAGAAATACTAAATCGTCTGTGAAAGACTGTTTTTTTTTTTTTTTTTTTTTTTTTGTTTTGTTTTGTTTGTTTGTTTGTTTGCTTAATTTCTTTTATAAATCGTTTTAGATTTGTTATAGTATTTGAATAGAACATGTGGAAACGATTAGATAATTCTTAAGATAATATAAATTTTTTGCATTCTAAGTTAAAAAATGAATGAAATGTAACGCTGTTAAGTGAACCTAGGGCCAGAGTGTCGCTATCATAAACAAATATAGTGAATTTTAAAGAGTGCATTTATTCTATTGTGGTTTATGCGCTATGGACGAAGTAAATTTAATTCAATCGAATAAGTTTAAATGAACTGCAAGAAAAAATGCGTAGAATTTAATACTCCGTACAAGGAAGTCATGTGTTGTACACATCAGATATTTTTTTATTTATGCGCAGATTCTGTAAGGAGAACTTAATTAGTAACATCCTTTTCTTAATTATCAAAATTAATTTTTAAGCATTTTAAAAAAAACTTTTAAGAACGTTTTTACTACATAGAAATGATTTTTTTCCGGCCAATGGCCTTGGAAAACGATACGTCAAACAAACACCCTAAATTGTATGAGTCTTTTGTTTTGTCGTTAACTAGCAACTACGCTGCCAACCTTCGTCTATACCGGAAAAATGAGCAGAATTTTACTCTGCAGAACAACTTGATAAAAAAAAAAAAAAAAAAAAAAAAAAAAAAAAAAAAAAACCACCACCCACAAATTTACAGAAAAAAGTATTACATATAACAAAATTGCAATGAAATAAGCAATATTCCTTAATACAAATATTAATTATTCTAATAAATACATTAACCAACTTCCCTTTGCCTTTTCTCAACAAGTCCAGTACCCAAGAGAAAAATTAAATTTAAAAACTGCACAGAGTTATCGCCCTCATTTTTCAAAGTAGCAACAGTACTGATTTTCAACAGTCAGCAGTCCAGTATACAATTAAATGAAAAACTGCTGTCAAAACCACATTTCTAAAAAAATGAAACTATTCAAAATGATGCGATAAAATCGAAAAGATAAAATTTTAAAAAAATCTGAATTCGAAGTTTGAAAAAATCGCTTCGAAGTGCACTGGCTCTTATCTAGATGCACCTATAAAACAAATTTCGTAGCACTGGGTCTCTTACGCGCAGCTCGAAAGACAACAGACTCTTTCATTTATTATATGTAGAGATTAATAATAAATAGCACACATATTGCAGAATTTTGTCACAAATTTCGTCAACACGTGACTTGACTCATTCGATTTCAAGGCCAGTTATTAACTTCAGACAGCATATATTCACTTTCTTTTTAATACTACTTTATATATTATGTTATTAGTCTAAAAGTTTGTTAGGATGGATTCAATTAAGGGAAGGAAAACGGAAATAAAGTATTCAAACACAGAAAATGGGCAATTCTTTGAGTTCGTAGTAATAATCTACAACCTAAATCGAAAACGCGGTGTCCAAATAGCAGAGTGTGAAAAACTGAGAGCTAAGTTTGTTCTGTGAATCTTGCAATCGCGGGGAATCGATCGGCAAATTGAGTGGGCGAGAAAGCAAAGTAGCTTTTTCGCCCATTGGGGGCGAAAGAGATGGAATAGGGTTTCGCAGGAAAAAGTCACAAGGAAGGAAGAAAACAGAGTTGTAGATTAGTGTTACCCGCTGAAAAAAAATTAAGGAAAATATCTTACATGCTCCGTGAATTCTTTAATAACAAAGAAAATGATGTGATTAAAAAATGAACAAGGAAAACCATTTGGCAAAAACAACT